TGGTATACATTTTATCCCTTCCTTTGGATAATGTGATCTTTCTGCTTCTTTGTAGTGTTTGCTGAACTTTGGAGAGGATGATAGAGATATTCCAGTTATGGCTGTGCATTATGCTAGTCACTTGTTCTCAGTGTTATGTACTTTGCAGTAATTGCCACCTACTGCCCACCCACTGCAACAAGAAGCCTCTCTGACTAAGGCCAACAGCAGTACTGATTTGTGAACATAAATATTTAGAAGTCAGTTTGATAAGCATATCATGCCAGTTTAGCAAAACAGCAGTAGTAGCTTCCTCACCAGGGCCTATACTCTTCTTAGCCTTGTACTTTTCATTAAGTTTATAGAAACATCTCCTCAGGTCTTTAGAGAGCATCATGCTACAATAACCAAGGTTGTTAGTTTTCTCTTCTAGCAGATAACAGTTAAACCCCAAACTTATAATAGCATAGTTAGCAAATGGTAAAGGAAGCCCAAACAAAAACTGTTTTCTTGAAAATGATCTTTGAACCTGGTGTGATGGTGTATGCTTGTAGCACTGGAGAGGCAATGGAGAAAGTGCATAATGTTGTCGTCATCTCTGTCTCTTGAATCTTGGATTATTAAATTGATTATTACATTCTTACACTTACCCTCAAACATAGGTGAAATATAAACATTTCTAGTAGTATGCTTTAAAATAATCTTATAATTATTATTATTAATTACTCAATATTTTTGTCATGTTATAATTCAAGTAGAATTCTGGGGTTAGCCAGGGGAAATCTGATTAGGAATGACTGAAAAATGTTTCCTTTGTTTTAGTCATTTTAATAAATGACTGATTAATATACTTGTAAGTTGGGAATGGTTTGTTTTTGTTTCTTAATAACTAGAAGGATTTGTGAATTATTTAAAAGACATCCTTAGGGTTAAGCTTGCTTAATTTTGCTCTTCAGTCAGTCTGAATTATCTAGGTAATTTCGGTCTGAATTATCTAGGTAGGTCTGTGAAGCTACAGGTTTGGACAGGATGAAGGACTCACATAAGTCAGACCTCAAGCAAGTCACTTCTCTTTAAAGGGGGACTACTGACCTTTAAAAGAACAAATAAATGTATCACGCAGAGTGCTCTATGTCTGTATTTGAAAACTAAGAAAATGCATTTTTTATTTCCAAAGTAAAGTATACATTTAAAACATTCAGGCTGTCATTTATAGTATATTGGTATTTAATAGATTTAGAAATTATTTGCTGGGGCTAGAGAGATGGCTTAGTTGTTAGGAGCACTGGCTGCTCTTCCGGAGGACAGGGGTACAATTCCAAGCACCCACATGGCAGCTCACAACCATCTGTAATTTCATTTCGAGGGAATCTGACACCTTCACACCAATGCACATAAAATAAAGTTAAATGAATTATTAAAACAAATTATTTTCCTTGCCCCATTAAATTATGAAAAGTAATTCACTATTCCCATATAACCTTTTTTGGGTGGGGGGGCACTTCCATACTTCTTTCTCTTAAAATATAACAGTCAAAATCAGACACTGAGGAAATGGTTCAGTGGTTAAGAGTGCTTCTGTACAACCAGAAGGCCTGAGTTCAGTTCCCAATACCCACATCACAACTGCCTTTATTTTACCTCCAGCTCCAGGGGATTCAACTTCTTTTGTGGCCTCTGGGCATCCAAACACACATAGCACACACACATAGATTCATACATATATAAATAAGTAAATCATAAAAACAGTCAGACACTATGAAAAATACTTTTTTGTGGGGGAGGTTCAAAACAGGGTTTCTCTGTGTAACAGCCTTGGCTATCCTGGAACTAGCTCTGTAGACCAGGCTTTCCTTGAACTCAGAGATCCACCTGCCTTTGCCTGCGCCTCTGTCTCCCAAGTGATGGAACTAGACGTGCACCACCACTGCCAGCAAGCTTTTTTAACTTGAAATTATCCCAACTACCTTTTGCCTCTGGGCATTTTCCTTTTCCTCTGTGTATCTTACTTCACAGCTGGCTAGGTGGCTGGCCCCTGACATTCTCCTTTCTTGTTCTATCTTCCTCTTTCTTTTTCTTGCTCCTTCTTCCCAGATTTCTCCTTCTATGTATTCTCTTTGCCTGCCAGCCCTGACTATCCTTTCTCCTGTCTCACTGTTGGCCATTCAGCGCTTTATTAGACCATCAGGTGTTTTAGACAGGCACAGTAACACAGCTTCACAGAGTTAAACATAAAAGAATGCATTATATTTTTGCATCATTACTGTTAGGTAGAAAAAGCCTGTCTTGAAAAAAAAAAAAAAAAAAACAAAAATAAAAACAAAAAAGGGAGGGAGAACAACATTGAATGTTGGTCCTCTCTGCATCTTGAAATAGTTTCTTTGCTGTTTGCCACTGCCTATACCAGGCAAGCTGGGAGCTTCTGGGGGTTCTCCTGTTCCTCTTCCCACCTCTGGTAGTTACCTGGACAGACTTCTTCCCAAGGAGCTTGAACCTTTGATTCCACACTCAGATGGACTTCTCTCCTGAACATGATAGGCCTATAATCTTTTAAATAAGCTCAGCAGTATCAAATAGAAAAACTTTCAAAATTGGGTCATTTCCTACTGTTCTTAATGTACACGTCTACCATATTCCTATAATTTTTAAAAGAAATCCTTAAGTTTTTTGATTTGTCATGAGGTAGGTTGCCAATGAAAGGTATGTCTGCTTTTCAGGATCCAGCATCACCTTGCTCACCAGCCTCATGGATTGGTCTGGTCCCCTTGGAGATGATTATTCATCTGTTGCTATTGCATTGTCTTGATCTCTAAGGCCTCTCTCTACATTGGAATCTGGGTTTCAGGCTTAGATTCTGGCCTGGTCTGAAAAGCATGAGGTGGAATCCTGGTCATCAGAGCACCTGTACTGGCAGGAAAACTCTTACTGGTCACAGAGGCCTAAGATGTCCTCACGTCTTCATGTATTGTCTGAGCTATATCTCTCAGAGCTGGAAAATAGCTGATAGGGAAGAAATTTATGGTTTTTCTCTTTTATTATGTTTTTGAGATTATAATGTAATCACATAACTTTCCCCTTCCCTTTTTTCCCTCCAAATTCTTCTTATGAAGTTTGTGTCCCAGAGTGCACCTGCTGGCTTTCAATTTTAATCTAACCCCTTATGGATACAAAGAATTCTTTCCATTAAATCTTTGTATCTTATCACAATTTCCTACCCAGTCAGCAGAAGACTAGGTTCCTTCATGACCATTGCTCTGGTTAATTCAACCTGTGTAGCTGAGTGAGGAAGGAATAAGCTTTGCTTTCCAGGATGAAGGATGGCAAGAGCCCCTCACACAACTGTGTCTACATAAAGCTTACTATTGATTAGATATTTCCTGAAAAATCATCTCTTCATTAGGAAATTTAGATCTGCCAAATTTTCTCTGAGAAATTGAATTTAATAGAATAATATTTGCAAAAGATTGTTTACCTAGAAGAATGTTTTTGTAGATAAAAATGAATTATGGATCACAAGCTCACTAAAACTTTAAATGGAAAAGTATTTGTCTTATGAATATTACATAGTTAAGTTTCGAAGACACTGACTATTTACTTTTATTTTCCCTTCAATATTAGGGATTGAGCCCAGAGCCTTGCACATACCAGAACAGTGTTTTATCAGCTAAACTGTATCCCCAACCAAGTCCTGTTGAATTTTAGTTGGGTGTTTTAGAAGGTGTATTAAAGTTTACTCAGGAGAAATATTTTCTGAAGCAAAAGCCATGAATTTATATCTCAAGTAGCTGAGATTGTAGGCTGGTACCACCAAGCCATGTGCTTGTTTTGTTTTGAGACAGTGTCTCACTGTATAGCTCTGGCTGGTCTGCAACTCACTGTGTAGACCAGGCAATTCTTGAAACGCATAAAGATGTACCTGCCTCTGCCTACTAATCATTTGGATTATAAACATGCAGTGCTATGCCCAACCTTCATAACACATATGTGGAGATAAAGAAAGCTTGCAGAAGTTGTTTCTCTCCTTTTGTCTTGTGTGATTCAGGGATTAACCTCAGGTTGTGAGACTTAGTGGTGCTCTCCCTTACCCACTGAGTTGTCTCACTAGCTTATATATACGTTTTGAATAAGTAAATTTTAATAATGAATAAGTAATTTGTAATCATTTTGAATAAGTCCCTTTTATGTCTATAGTTTTTAGTCTTATAAATATTACAATAAATTTATGTTCATAAATTTTCTTGTGGTTTCTTTATCATTTTGAAGAGTAGGTGATGATGTTCTTTCTAATCAAAGTAATGAATGGTAAATATAGCTGAGGGATACTCTGTAATTGCATAAATCTTTATCAAGTTATTGTTGCTATTAAAGGAAGCCCCTCCCCCTTTAGACTTTGCTAGGGATCCAAAACAAAATAAATAGTTTGTATCATCCTGTAATGTGTGTGTGTTAGACTAGGTGGGCATACCAGCTGAGTGTTGTAATAAGGTGCAAAAGGAGAGAATCGTTATTATTATTTCACCAAAATTAATCAGAGCCTTTCCTGGAGATGCAGATGAGGTTTAGTTAAGGATGATGATACCAGCAGGCCGGTGGTGGTGCACACCTTTAACCCAGCACTTGGGAGGCAGAGGCAGGTGGAACTCTTGTGCGTTCGAGGCCAGCTTGGTCTACAGAACAAGTTCCAAGGCTGGTTCCAAAGCTATACAGAGTAATCCTGTCTTAAAAAACAAAACAATCAAAAAAGTTGTGTCTTTGGGACTGGAGAGATGGCTCAGAGGTTAAGAGCACTGATTGCTCTTCCAGAGGTCCTGAGTTCAATTCCCATCAACTACATGGTGGCTCACAATCATCTGTAATAAGGTGTAGTTCCCTCTTCTGACCTGCAGGTACACAGGCAAACAGAACAAATAAATAAATCTTAAAAAAAAAAAAAAAAGGATGATGATGGATGATGATACTTCCCTCCTGTCCTTGATAACTGAAGCATCTCTAATGTTGGCTTTCTCACTTTCTTTCTTCAGGTGATTTACTGTTCTTTTGGTGGAACATCCAAAGGGCTACACTTCAATAACTTAATAGTTGGACTCGTCCTCCTTACAAGAGGCAAAGATGAAGAGAAAGCAAAATGTAAGTTCTTCTTTTATCTTAGGTAATATAATAGTGTCACATGTGCAGAATAATTAACCTCCAAATCTGAAAGGCAAATATTGTAATGGCTATTTGTCCAAAGATACACAACTGCCCAATGAGCACTTCAAAAATGTTAGTCATCAATGCTAACTAAAACTATTGAGATTCTACATTACATTTTAAAATAAAATATAATAACATTGCCAACAAACATTTATAAAAATTTTAGTCCTTCATCTTTGTTGTTGGGAGTATGAAATAATAGTTTTTGTTTTTATTCACTAATTTTTGGTACTGGGAATTAAACTCAGGGTTTATCTGAATGGATAAATAAAATGTAAATTTCTGCACAATAGGTGCTGGAGAGATAGATCGGCGGTTAAAAGCACTGGCTGCTTTTCCAGAAGTCCTGAGTTCAATTCCCATCAACCACATGGTGGCTCACAACATCTGTAGTGAGATCTGGTGTCTTCTGGGCTACAGGCATACATCCACACAGAACACTGAATACATAATAAATAAATAAATCTTAAAAAGTTTCCTGCCCAATATATTCTTACTTCACAAGGAAAGAAAACCAAGTACTGATTGATCAATGCTGAAACATAGATAAGGCTTCAAAATATTTTTTCTGAGCACTGGAGAGTTGGTTCAACTGTTAAGAGCATGATATTATTGTCCTTCCAGAGGACCTGAGTTTAGTTCCAGTATCTATGTCATGAGGCTCACAACTGCCTTAAAACACATATTCATATATATTTAAAATATGATCTATCTAAGTAATATGTGTGTGAAATGTTTTAACATATGTGTTAGACATGTTTTTATATATACATATATGTTTTAAACATGTTTTTACACACACACACATATATTACTGAATAATGGGTATTATATGGAGTAGACCATAATATTATGATTATAGTTATGTGAAGATTTCTAGAATAAGCAAACTCATAGAGGCAGAATTTAGCAGATGAGTGACACTTAGGATAATTATTAGGCAGGGAAATTGATAATGAATAATTACTGATAGAAATGAATGGTTTTGTTTTTTCTTTCCCTTTTTTGTGGTATTAGAGATCAAGACCAGAACCTTATACATGCTGCCATTAAGCTATATTATTAGTAGGTATGGGATTCCTTTTTTGGTTGATGAAAATGTTCAGAAATTAGGGGCATTTGTTGTGCAATCTTGTGCATATACTAAAAATCATCAAAATGCATTTTTACAAGATTGATTTTTTTTTTTTTTTTTTTTTTTTTTTTTACTAAGTTTTATTATATTTCACTAAGGCTGTTAACTTTAGGGAAAAAAAAAAAAAATCTGGCTGAGTGTAGTAGTACATTCCTTTAATCCCAGTACTGAGAGGCAGAGACTTTGAATCTACAAGTGTGAAGCCAGCTTGGTCTACATGAGTTCCAGGCTACTCAGAGCTTCATAGTGAGACCCTGTCTCAAAAAATAAATAAACAAACAAATAAATCTGAAGACACTGCCAGCATAACAACCCTGTCTTTAAAAACAAAACAACAAAAAGAAAATGTGATGAGTTATCCTTACAGCTTTTCAAAATCCCTGTATTTCTGCCCTTAGAGATTAGTACTCTCTCAGAAATGTAATGACCTTTTTTACCTTTTACACATTTTTATGTCTTATATTTATATCTGAACACATATCTTCAAGAATTTGGCAGGTTTTCAACCTTTAAAGTGTCATGTGGTTATTTTGGTCCCCCCCCACACTCCCCATTCCCCCAAATATCATATTTCTTCTTGCTTACTTATCTTGAAGTACCAATTCTGTTTAACTTAAGTATGGTATTTTATTATTTGTGTTCATACATCTGTTAGCTTCTTTTTTCAATAAGTATTTGTTTCTAATTTTTGCTCTTACAAACAGTAGTTAAGTGAACATCTTGCATTTTGTGCACAAGTATCAATATTCCTAAAATTTTAAATGGGGTTGTTTAGAAGTAGAGTTTCTGACACACATCTTTCTTTACCTTTTCTATATTTTGGTAAATCCAGAGTAGTTACATTTATTTATATACTCTTTCACATTTTATAAAAGATCCTGTCCAGGGAGTGGTGGCACATGCCTTTAATCCCAGAACTGTAGAGGCAAAAGCAGGGAGATCTTTGAGTTTGAGACCAGCCTGATCTACAGAGCAAGTTTCAGAACAGCTATGGCTATAAGAGAAACCCTGTCTTAAAAGAAAAAAAGAAGGAAAAGGTTTAGGGAGAGGAAGAGAGAGATCCAATTTCTTTTGATCTTTGCTACTAACACTTAGTATTAATCACATGTTTGAAAAAAATACCACACAATTATTTTGATGAGTAAATTAAACAGACAGGCATAGTGAGACATACTATACTCATAATCATAGCTCTTAGGAGGTTGAGGCACGAGTATTGTAAATTCAAGGCCAACCTTGCCCAACCAAGAGTGGCCATCTGGGGAAGAGGACAGTGAAGTTCACAACAATAATAAATAAATTGTACTTATAAAGTGCAATTAATTGTGTCTTTCTCTCCTTACTTTTACTAACTATATTTGGTGTATAGTAAGATTAATTTGTTTTTCTTTCTCTTAGATATTTTTAGTCTTTTTTCAAGTGAATCTGGGAGCTATGTTGTACGGGAAGAAATGGAAAGGATGCTACATGTGGTGGATGGTAAAGTACCAGATACACTCAGGAAGTGTTTCTCAGAGGTATATTTATAGATTTATGTTTCATTTTTTTCTTATTGAAGTGTTAACTCTTAGTTTGTGATAAATATGGCTATGATGAATGCTTGTGTTCAAAGGGTTCTTGGTATTTTTACATTTAATGATTGTTTTAACTCTTTATGTGCTGTGCTCAATAAAGAGTATTTGTATTATCTAATAGTCCTACAGGAAATAAACTGGAATAAGGGAACCAGTGTTGATGGGGAGGAGTAAGGGGAGTGTTGCTTTTTAGATAATTAGGAAAATCTGTCAGATGAAGTGAAATTCAAGAGTTTATATCTCAGATGGGTGTGATGGTGCTCGCCTTTAATCCCAGCACTCGGGAGGCAGAGGCAGGTGGATCTCTGTGAGTTTGAAGCCAGCCTGGTCTACAGAGTGAGTTCTAGGACAGCTAGGGCTGTTGCACAGAGAAACCCTGTCTCAGAGGGGGAAAAAAAAAAGAATTCATGTCTTTCATTACTGCTGTGTTTGTGAATTAGAAAATCCTTGACCATAGCATTGCAGAGATTGGTCAGTGGTTAGAGTGCATGCTACTCTTCCAGAGGATCCTACTTTGAGTCCCAGCTCCCAGTTAGGTAGTTTACAACTTCACAGCTCCAGAGAATGTGGCACTTTGCTCTCTTGAGCACATACCTATGCACATGAACATAATTTAATAATAATAAACTAAAACTTAAAAAAAGAAAATCCTTAATTAATTTATACTTACAATTATAATACTATACACTCCACACTGGTACACTGATACCATTGTAAATGTAGGCTCCTGAAGAAATTATATGTGTGCACTAGATTTATTTAGCATTTCCATGTGTTAGGTACAAAAGGATAGACTTCTCATATCTTTGGTTCTGCTCTAATAGTATTTTAGTATTCCAGTATGAATTAGGCTATGCTTTGTTTCTTTCTGGTAACAAAAAGTTGCTGGTTAGAACAAAAGTCTTTACAGAGCAAATTAATGGATTTTTCACAAAGATGACAAATGCATTAATCTATTCTTTTTTCAGAGAAATAATATAGTTTTGCATTTGAATAAGACAAAATCAGACATTCTTATTTTGCTGATGGTAACTAAAAGTGGTTGGCCACTTGTTTCTTAAAATTATTGACAGTAACATGCATTAGGTGATAATTAGTGCTATAAGGATATTAAGTAAAAAATAAGATTGTTTCTAACTTAAACAAATGAATTTAAAAAAAAAGGGGGGGAAGGAAATTAAGTAGAATAAGAGAGGTAAATACTGATGGGGAGGAAGTATTCTCTTCTGTATGGGGTCACTATGAAATTCTGTCAGATAAAGTGAAACTCAAGCAAACATTTATTTTCATGATGATCCCTACCTTCCTTGAAGACCATGATGTGGAAGTGTATTTTGCCTGTTGAAGAAGCAATAACAAGACCCATTTAGTTGGAGTGGAATTAGCAGTGGAATAGTAAGAATCAAAGTGAGATTATTGGGGTGTGAGGATGTCTATTAGTTACGTTTCTATTGCTATAACAAAACACCATGACCAAGGCAACTTACAAAAGAAAGTGTTTACGTGCGACTAGGAAGATTGAGTCAGGGTTGGAATAAAAGACAGGAGAGAGAGAGAGAGAGAGAGAGAGAGAGAACATAAAAGAGGGAGCCAATATTGGTTTGAAGAGAAAATTGAACCCAAAGAAAGGTCTAGAGACCTACAAGACTGCCGCCAACTAAGAATTTGAGCATCCGTGGAAAGGCTACCATAAATGTCCTTCCCGGATAGTGAGATCAACAACTAACTTATCCATGGAGCCCTCATCTAATACCTGTTGGAAACAGAAGCAAACACCCATACCTAAACACTGAGTCGAACTAGAATCCAGATGCTGACAGAGAGGACAAGACCAGGTTGCAGAAACACATAGAGACAGCTGACCTGAACAAGGAGGAGCTAACAGGCCCCCAGACTGACAGCTGGGAATCCAGCATGGGACTGACTCAGACCCCCTGAATGTGGGTCTCAGCCAGGAGGACTGAGCAGTCTAAGGGACCTCAGACAGTGGAACCAGGATGTATCCCTGGTGCACAAAAGGACCTTGCGATCACATCCCCCATGGAGGGATAACTGCCTTAACCTAGAGGGAAGTCCTAGTCCCTAGTCCCTACTTCACATGACCTGTCAGATCTACATGACCCCTCCTAGATGGCATTGCCCTACATATGGAATTGGGGTGGGGGGATGGGAGGGGAGGGTGGCCAGGGTGCATGTGAGAGGGCAGAGAGGGTAAAAGGGAAGGAGGGAGGGAGAAGGAGGGTACTCGGATTGACATGTAAAATAATAAATAAAAAAAAAAAAAAAAAAAAAGAAAGAAAGAGTGTTTACTTGAACTTAGCTTCAGAGGTTAGAGTCCATGGTGGTGGACCAAAGGCATGGAGGCAAAACAGTTAAGGCTTGATCCATAAAGCAATAGGCAAGAAAATGGGAATGGTTGGAGGCTTTTGAAGCCTAAAAGCCCCCACCCCCACCCCATGAGATACCCGCTTCTTACAAGGCCACATTCCTAATCCTTCCTAAATAGTTCTCTCAACTGATAACCAAGTATTCAAGTATTCTAATTTGTATATGCTATGGGGGCTATTCTCATCCATGAACCACCATTGGAAGTTATAGTGTGAGTCTTTGGTTTTTTTACATTAAGATAGAAACCCTTGGAGGGTTTTAAGTAGATGAGTAATGCATGAGTGCTAGCAATTGAACACAGAGCCTTGTATATGCTCGGCAAGCATTCTACCATTGAACTACACATCTCCAGCCCTTTCATTTTTATATGAGACAGGGTGACAGGGTCTCCCTAAAGTTATTTAGGCTAACTTACAGTACAGGTAGGCTTCAAACTTGCTATCCCCCTGCCTTTCTTTAACTTTTTTTTTTTATCCACAAATCATTTTTTATTTATTTTATTTTACATATCGATCCCAGTTCCCGCTCCCTCCCTTCCTCCCTCCTTTTCTCCCTCCCTCTCTACCCCCTTCCTCTTTCCCTCTCTCCTACCCTCCTATGCCCCCACCACCACCCTCCCCTCCCAACCACCACCCCACACCACATATAGGGTGATGCCTTTCAGGAGTCATCTAAATCTGTCAAGTCATTTGGAGTAGGGACTAGGCCTTCTCTCCTGCTTCTAGGTTTTTAACTTTTAAGTAGCTGGGATTATAGAAATGCCTACTACACTGGCAAGATGCAAGCATTCATTTTTTTGAGACAGAGTTTAATGTACCCTAGGTAGGGGTCCTGGTAAAAGGCAGTGATTATTTAGATCATGGCATATAGCAGTGAGATAGTGAGGGATTATTAGATTCTATACTTAACTATTTTTAATTTTTTAAAAATTTCAGTTATTATTTTGTATGTATATGATGTGTGTGTATGTGTGTTGATGTCATGCCATGGTATGTATTCATATAGAAATCTGAGGACCACTTTCTGGAGTTGGGTTCTCTACTGTCATCATTACTTGGGTTCTGGGAATTGAGCTCAGGTCACCAGGCTTGCTTAGTCAGTGCTTTTACTTCCTGAGCATCTTGTCAGCCCTACCATGAGTCTGTTTTGAAGGAGGACTCACAGAATCTTTTCTTGTTTTGGTTACAAGCTAGCATAGAATAGAGAATCATGATTTGAATAAAAATTTAGAGTTCCTATTAACTGAGATGGTTACTGTTGCAATTAAAAAAAAAAAAAAAAGTGCTGCCAGAAAGATGCCACTCACTAGAGTTCAAGTGGAGGGTTTTTTTAATTAGGGGAAAGGGATCATAAAAAGGGGGAAGGGGAGAAGGAAGGAAGACCAGCCTCTGGGGACAGGAGGTGGAGAAAGCAGAGAGGTTGGGAGAGCAACAGAGAGAGGGAGAGGGAGGGAGGGAGGGAGGAAGGGAAGGAGAGGAAGATGGGAAGTGGGCAGGGCCCCTTTTAAAAGGGAACATAATGAATGTGCACAGGTGGTGCTCTTAGTGGCTACAGGTGAGGTGAGAACATCTGCCAGAACCTCAAGGGCTGGCCAGTACAGATGCCTGAATACTAACAGCTACGAACTAGGGAAGGAGGTTTGGGGAGCTGGCTATCAAGAGTGATTTAATTTGCTGCCATCTGCAGCCTTGTATTTGTTTTGTGATGGGATCTTCTGTGTTGCCCAGTTGGTCTTCATCTCATACTCTAGTCTTCAAATATCTGGGACTGCAGATATTTTTATTGTTGTTGTATAAGTAGTTATGCACATGAGTATGTGGTTGCATACATCTGTACACGTGTGTGGTAGGGCCAGAAGTTGGATGTCTTCCTTTGTCAGTCTGCTTTATTACCTTGAGACAGTGTCTCTCATTGAGCCTGAAGTTTGCCCTTTAGGTGAACTCTAAGGGATTTATTGAGCTCCAGGGATCTATTTGCCTGTTTCTGATCCCAATGCTGGAGTTACAGGCATTTGCAGCCATATCAGCTTTTGATATGGCTGTTGTCTTAGTTAGGGTTTTTATTGCTGTGATAAAGCAACATGACCAAAAGCAACTTGGAAAGGTTTTGTTCAGTTTAAGATTCCACATTTTACAGTCCATCACTGAGGGAAGTCAGCGTAGGAACCTGGAGACAAGATCTGATGCAGAGGCCATAGAGGGGTGATGTTTATACTGGCTACTTCCCTCCCTCCTGGATTGCTTAGCCTGTTTCCTTATAGCACCAAGGACCACTAACTCAAGGGTAGCACCACCCACAATGACTGGAGCCACCCACATCATTTGTCAGCCAAGAAAATGCTTCATGGATTTGCCTATAGGCAAATCTTATAAAGGCATTTTCTCATTGAGTCTCTTTTCCCAAATGACTAGCTTGTGTCAAATTGACAGAAAACTAGCCAGCATAAGTACAAAAAATTTGAACTTGATATTGTTTGTGTGCTTGTTCACTGGGAGTAAAGGCATGTATCACCAATGCCCAGCTGATTTATTCTTAATCATGTCTATATGTGTTAAGAGAGTGAACACAAATGCTCTCAGAGATTATAGTCGTTGGATCTGTCATAGGCAGTTGTAAGCCACCTGATGTGGGTTCTGGGAATTGAACTCTGGTCCTTTGGAAGAGTGATGTGTGACTTTTTAAAAAATATTCACTCACTCACTCACTCATTCATTCATTCATTCATTTTGGTTTTTCTAGACAGGATTTCTCTGTAACTTTGGAGTCTGTCCTAGAACTTGCTCTGTAGACCAGGCTGATCTGGAACTCACAGAGATCCACCTGCCTCTGCCGCCCAAGTGCTGAGATTAAAGACAAGCACCACCACCCTGCTGTAATGTGTGCTCTAAACTGCTGAACCATCTCTCACATACCCTGTTTTGAGTTTTTATAACAGTTTCATTATTTAGCCATGGTTGATTAGATAGATGATCATCGGTAATCACCTCAGCCTTCAGCCTCCTTTCTTCCCCAGTTATTTGGCAGATGGGCTTGAAATTAATCATCACTCTCAAACCTGTAAGGGTTATTTATTGAAGATACCTAGTGGCTGTGAGCTGTCATGTAGCCTAGTAGCAAACAGACATTTTACAGAGTTCAAAAGTTTTAAAGTGTATTTTAGGAAAAAGGGAAGAAAGCGAAGTATAGAATTCATAAAATTATAACTTTAAAAAAAGCTAATTATAATAAATGGTGTTACAACTTTTAAGAGTTATCCTAATATCTTAAGAGTTAACTGTGTAAAAAAAAAAATGTACAAACCTGTGGAATTTATACTTCTACTTTATTTTTAGATAAACACAGATAGAGTAAGAATTGGATAGAATACTTACTCCCCAACGTTTGCAGTATCTTCTTGTATCCCTGTCTCAAATTTGAAACAAGACTGTCAATGTTGTCCCCATAGTTTGCATTATGTTGATGCTAAGTGCTCTAAAACTAGTATGCCGAGCATATTGTTGTACTTAGTAGGATCCTATTAAACAATGTAGAAGTTGTTTTATGTTCTTCAACATTTATATTAGAGTTGAGGTTGCTAGGCCCCTGAATGTCAGTCTTTGTCCTATTTCCAATGAGTTTTTTCTTTATCTCAAAGAAGTATCTAGTCCTTACTAAACTTAAGAGCTATTGTCCAAGCAGAGGGCTTGACCAAGAGAGCAGTTTCAGCACAGTCCTCAACCTAGATACTTTTTTCTCTAGAGATTTAGTAAGACAAATACTTATATAAAACACAAAGTTAAGAGGAGTATGTATGGAGATGATTTGGAGAAAGTTAGATGGGTGAGATGGGGAGGTCCAGATGATCATATTTCATGTATATTTTTATGAATTTTTCAAATAATTCTTTTAAAAAGGAAATCAAAAAAAAAAAAAAAAAAAAGAAAGAAAGAAAGAAAAGAAAAAGGAAATTGACTTGTTTCTTTGGGAGTGAGGGTTATTTTGACAGAGTCTCATTAACATAATGAGCTTTGGCTGTCCAAGGATCTGTCCTTGCTGTGTAGATCAGGCTGGCCTAAAATTTATAGAGATCCTTCTGCCTCTGTCTCTCCAGTGCTGGGATTAAATGCCTGTTTCACTAAGCCTTTCTAATTAAATTGCTTTTGAACTCTAATTGATGTTTTGGATCCAGATTGTCTAGTCTAGATAAGACTTCTGGGATATTACTTTATTTTGTTTTTTGAGTCAGGGTTTCTCTGTGTACTTTGTAGACCAGGCTGGCCTGGAACTCACAGAGATCCGCCTCCCTCTAACTTCAGAATACTGGGATTAAAGGTATGGGCCACCACCACCTGGCTAGAAAAGACTTCTGAATAATTGTTTTTAATTTGCAAATGAAATTTAAGTGTTTTAATTTAGGCAACTTAGTTAAATATGTACTAATTTAGATTAACTTGCTAAAGATAAGGGATAAGTGAAAATTTGGAGTAATTAAAACTCTTTAAGAATAAGGGAAGCATCTTTTTTTTTATATATATATATTTTATTGGTATGCCTCTTTTGCCTACACATATGTATGTGCTCCACACATGTGCCTGGTCCCTGGAGAGCCAAAAGAAGGTTGGATCCCCTGAAACTGGAGTGAAGAATTTTGTGAGCCATCATGCAGGTGTTCACAACTGAACTTGAGTCCTCTGCATGAGCAGCCTTGTGCTCTTAACTATTGTGCCATTTTTTCCAGCACTAGATTTATTAAATATAAGAACAAATATAAATATAGCATATTGTTCTTGTTTTGGGTTTTTGTCTTCGAACTGGCCTTGTAGACTAGGTTGTCCTTGAACTCAGATATCAGCCTGTCTCCTGAGTGTTGGGATTAAAGGTGTGAGCCACTTACTCCCTGCTAAAATGTAGTTTATTATTTTGGCAATTGACTGCTTTAATGAATTGATAATAATTTACAGTTAGCACATAGATTTTACTCAAGTACATCTGTTTGTGTTTCAAGTAACAGTTTGCTTTCCCGAATACTTGTGTCTGGTGGCAGCCCTGAGTTTAGGTGTAGATGGGAAATGTCAGCCACTGATATGTTAAGACTCTTAAGTACTGTATCTAAAATTGTACTAAACATGTTTTCTTATCTCAATTTTAGGGTGAAAAGGTGAACTATGAAAAATTTAGAAATTGGCTTCTTCTAAACAAAGATGCTTTTACCTTCTCTCGCTGGCTGTTGTCTGGGGGTGTATATGTGACCCTCACTGATGACAGTGACACTCCTACTTTCTACCAAACTCTGGCTGGAGTCACACATTGTAAGTAATGACATTATATTGTTTCCTTTCACCTTTAATATAACTGACTAATAATAACAGATTATTATTATTATTGGCTAGTGTGACATGAACTTAAAATCTCTTGTCTGCTGAACACATTTTTATCACTGAAACATATGCCCAAGGCCCTCCTGTTTTTTTTTCTTTTTAAACTTTTTGATTAGTTGTTGGTTGTTGGTTGGTTTTTGTTTTTCTCCCTGAGACAGTTTCTCTGTGTAGCTTGGATGTCCTGGAACTTACCAGTAGACCAGAGAGATCCCACCTGCCTCTGCCTCCCGGGTGCTGGGATTAAAGCTGTGTACCACCACCACCCCTAGTTCCAAATTAAATTGTCATTCTTTAAAAAACACTGTTCATTTGACAATATTGTCTTTCATCTTATTTCTATGGAATATATAGCAGAACTTGTCACACAAAACAATAGAAGTTAATGTTTTCCTTGGTTTTAATTAAAACTTCACACTTCTTTTTAATTGCTGTATATCTTACCTTTGTCTTTTTTTTTTTCTTCTTCTTTTCACTATATAGAGACTGAACTTAAGAGTATTATGCTAGACAAGTCTTCTACCACTGAGCCACATTCAACTCTTTACCTTAAGATTTTAAATGCCATATTTATCCCTGCTGATAATCTCTTCCTGCCACACTCCTTTGCTACCCCTGGCCAATCCTTTAGTTTTACAGTTTCAGGAGGTCGTGCATGTGGGTGGATAGACATAATGGGGACAAAACATTTATACATATAAAGAAATCTAAAAAAGATATTAAAAGAAAAAACCCTGTCTCTTCTGTTACCATACTTTCCACATTAGGTTGAAATAATGAATTTTACTTGCAATCAACATATATTAGTCTTATTCACAATCATAACTGTAGGTGTTAGTCCTGTGTCAGACACATAATATATTTTATTTAATATTAATACTATCTTACATATTTTAAATTTTTATTTTCAATTACCAGATACTTATGTATATGGTTGTTGAAAGAGCACCTGCACTTTTTATACCAAAAATACTGTGTAACCCTGGCTATCCTGGAACTGTAGACTAGGCTGGCCTCTAACTCAAGATATCCGTATGCCTCTATCTCCTTAGTGCTGACATTAAAGGTGTGTGCCACCACCATTAATTCTGGGTATTTATGACTCATAGTTTTTGAACCTTGTCTAATTCCATTGTCTCTTAATCCTAGGCCATTTTGTTAAATTTTACCTTAGTTTTGTGTTACATCTTCCTACTTTTTTAATGTTGTCTTTTACATTTGTGTGTGTGTGTGTGTGTGTACATACATGTCATGTTGTGTCTGTGGAAGTCAGAGGACAGCTTGTGGGAGTAATTTCCTCTTTCCACTTTGTAGATTCAGGGGTCAAATTCAGGTTGTCAGACTTGTGGTAAGCTCCTTTACCTGCTTAGCCAACTGTCGGCCTCTTTCATGTTTTTTCCCCAATGCTAGACATTGTGACTCTTGTGTTATATCTCCCCAGCTTGCTACAATCTGGTAATTTTTCTGCTTTAAGTTCCTAGGTGAGCTTCAGTGAGTTTCACTCTTTATAACACAAATTAGCTGCCAAAAGAAAGTGTAATTGTACAGATTTCTGGAATTTGTTCTTTGTGTAACTTGTTTCTAACACTGTCTTTTCCAATTCTCAGCTGCCCCAACCTTCCTGCACTGTTCTCCATTCCTAACACAGTCAAATCTCTGTATTGAGAATCCTTATTCTTTGCCACCTTGATATAGGCACAGGCAAGAACTGGGCAGTAGAAGTGCTCACCTGATAGTGATCTCAGGATCAAAGTCCTGCACCACCTGTTTCTACAACTACTTGATTTATATAGTGATGCAAATAGTTTCTAGCCATTTGTGGCCAGAGGACAAGTCTGACACCAGTGGATATATCACGATGGCTCCAAAGGGGCAATTCCAAAATTACATTTTAGTAAGATAACTTTGAGTATTATGTGCTTCCTAAATTTTATTTTGATTTCTTTGGAGGGAAACAGAAATGCTTAAAATGTAACTATGCTTGGAGTTTGTCTATGTTCATATTTATCTTTTCATGATTTTGCTGTTTGTTACCTAGCACATTGTGTTGCCTGTGTGAGTTAAATGTGGGCCCTGCTAGTGTGGTAGTTATATGTCAGATTTTAGCAATCTGCTTAATGGGAAATTGTAGTTTCTTTTTTCTTTTTCTCTGAGTTTTACAGTCTCATGCTTTTATTATTTTGACTTCATTTTCTTGCACTTTTTTTTTCTTTCTGGAGAGACAGCCATGGGTGCTGGAAACCCAACTCTTATATTTTTGGTTATGAGCTTAGCCATTAATGGTTGAATCATCCCTCCATTTCTGACATTGTTTTTCAAGACTTAGTTTTTTTTTTTTTTTTTTTTTATGAATGAGTACTTTATCTCATGTACACCTGCATGTCAGAAAAGGGCATCAGATCACACTATTGATGGCTGTGAGCCACAATGTGGTTGATGGGAATCGAACTCAGGACCTCTGGTTCAACTGCTGAGCCACCTCTCCAGCCCCAGATAAATTTTAAAATTTAAAATTTAAAAAGCAGAAGAAATGAGGCTGGAGAGATGGCTCAGCAGTTAAGAGCACCAACTGCTCTTCCAGAGGTCCTGAGTTCAATTCCCAGCAACCACATAGTGGCTTACAACTATCTGGTGTCCTCTTCAGGTGTGCAGGCATACATGCAGATAGAACACTGCATATAAATATTTTTTAAAAATTATGTTTTGGCCATAATTTGTTTATCAGGATAAAGTAATGGTTCAGAATGGCATTCTGAGTTTATAATCTTGTTTGATTTGATTTTTAGTGGAAGAATCAGACATCATTGATCTGGAGAAACGCTATTGGTTACTGAAGGCTCAATCCCGTACTGGACGTTTTGACTTAGAGACCTTTGGCCCACTGGTTTCACCACCTATTCGCCCTTCTCTGAGTGAAGGTAGGAAATATTCCTTAAAAAACAAAAACAAGAAAACCATGGTGGGCTATGGTGGTGTATGCCTTTGGTGGCACATGCCTTTAGTCCAGCCTGGTCTACGCTCCAAAGCTACACAGAGAAACCCTGTCTCCAAAAAAAAAAAAAAAAAAAAAAAAAAAAAAAAAAGAAAGGAAAGAAAGAAAAAAATGACAACAAACCAAAACAAATTTACCTCTGACAAACTATATTCCTCTAGATTTAATATGATTTATTAGTTCCTTACTTAGCAGTATAGTGGTGAGGGAAAAAAACCAAGGTTATGTTCTTCAGCTTCATATTTTACCTGTGTGTTCTTAAACGAATCAGTTAGTTCTCTGTACATGAATGTCTTTACGTGTATGCTTCATGTGACCAAGTGTCAGTAGTGTGACAGTGCTCTGCTAAGGAGTATCAGCAGGTAGGACATGCAGAGGGTGCTGGTCACTGCATGGCCAGAACTCCAGGTTTCCTCATGTGACCCATCCCTTCCTTGGCTACTTGTTTTTCATTCACGTAAGGTTTCTCTGTTGCTTCCTCCCTGAAAAAAAGGATACAAGCTTCTAGGTAAGAACATTTCTGAAAGCCGGGCAGAGGTGGCACACACCTTTAATCCCAGTACTCTGGAGACAGAGGCAGGTGGATCTCTGTGAGTTCGAGGCCAGCCTGGTCTACAGAGGTAGTTCTAGGACAGCCAAGGCTATTACACAGAGAAACCCTGTCTTGAAGGAAAAAAAAAAAAAAAAAAACCCAATATCTGTATTGTTTTGGGTGACACCATAAGCATTGTATTTAGAATCTGAATATTTGGGTTCTGTTTCTGATTATAAAGTAGTTTTAGGTTTTTATGTCTTTTTTTTTTTTTTTAAAGATTTATTGTTTTGTATTGTATTAGTTTTGCCTGAATATATGTGTGTGCATTACATGCATGCTTGGGGCCCTCATAAGTAAGAGGAAAACATGGGATCCCTAAAACTGAAGTTACAAATGGTTGTGAGCCACCATGTGGGTGCTAAGAAGCAAATCCGTGTCTTCTGTAAGAGCAACAAGTACTCTTAAACAGCTATCTCTCCAGCCCCAGTTATTGACTTGTTTTTGAACTTGAAATTACTTAACTTTCTAATTTTAATATTTTATTTTTCTTTTATTAAGTGTGTATGTATGTTTTGCCTGCATGTATATTTGTGCACCATATATGTACCTAGTGACTACAGAGGCCAAAGGAGGGCTTTAGATCCCCTAGGACTGGAGTTACAGACAGTTCTGAGCTACTATGTGAGTCTGGAACTCAAGCACAAGTCTTCTGGAAGTGCAGCCAGTGCTCATATAACTACTGAGCCATTTCTCCAACCCATTTTTGTTTTTGAGAGAGGATCTCATGTGGCCTAAGCTCACTTCAAACTCATATCTAGTTAAGGATGATCTTTAACTTTTCAGTCCCCTGCCTCTATCTCCCAAGTACTGGGACTATAGGCATATACCACCATGCCTAGTTCTCTATTGTTCAAAGTGAAGCACAGACTTAGATAAGATTCTTGAAGCATATAACCAACATTTTCTTTCAACTACTTAGGATATTTCAGAAGTACTCTTCAGTGGAGGTAGCATACATAGCACTCAGGGTTTCTTTTTTTCTTCCTTCCTTCCTTCCTTCCTTCCTTCCTTCCTTCCTTCCTTCCTTCCTTTCTTTCTTTCTTTCTTTCTGTGTGTGTGTGTTTGCACTTGAGCATGTGCAACCATGCCATGGCACACACAGGGAGCTTAAAGGACAGCTTTCTAAAGCTGTTTCTCTAACTCAGTCATCAGGCCACAAGCACCTTCACCGCCTCTACTTGGCTGCTTCTACCTGACCAACAGTGTAATTCTGTTTTTACTGTTCAGGAATTAGGTGATTGGTGTGGAGGATTGTTGGAAGTTCCTGGGGAGGGGGTGGAATCCAGGAAAAGGTGGAAGCGGGTGGATATGATTGAGATGCATTGTGTGGGAAATTGTCAAAAAATAAACTCAAATTCTGTTAGGAAAAGAGAATTGGGAGGTTTACACATAATTTTATTTGAAATTGTACATAGTTTATAAAGAAATGAAAAATCACAGGATGAAATTTTAAGTTCTTTCCCTCTTCTGAATTTAAAGTACTCACATGTGAGTTTTACAAAGAAGGTACCGTTGTGGTTTCTTATAGTAATGTAGTCCCTTTCCCAGGAAAAGCTTTACAAAAGTTTATTGATGAGGCAGTGGTATATGTTATCCATTTAATAAGCAGTTCAACTTTTCTTCTGTGTTTCTAAGGATAGTATTTATAATTTCTGACTTTTCTTGATTGTTTTTTGTTTTTGTTTGTTTTGAGACAGGGTTTTTCAGGTTGTTCTTTGGCTGTCCTGGAACTCAGAGATTCACCCTCCTTAAGTGTGCCCCACCACTGCTAAGCTTGATTCTTAATACTCTTTTGTTACCTTTGAAAAATATATAGCTGTCTTGCCAGGCGGTGGTGGTGCATGCCTTTAATCCCTGACCTCGGGAAGTGCAGGCAGGCGGCTCTCTGTGAGTTCAAGCCAGCCCAGTCTACTAAGCGAGTTCCAGGACAGGCTCCAGAACTACAGAGAAACCCTGTCTTGAAACACTCTACCCCCCCACCCAAAGAAAAATATAGGTGTCTTTAAGCTACTAGATACTTTGTACTAGAGAAGTAAAAATAGACATAAGCAAATATTAAAGGAGTATAGTGTCTTCTGCTGGGGTGTTCAGTTATAATTATAGTAAAGGAAAGAAATATTTACTTGGAAAATTGAAGTTTTTTTTTTTTTTTATGTAATCACTTTATGTAAAAAACATTCCTAACTTCATAAACGTATCAGTGTTACATTAGAAAGTTTATTGACTAGTTTATGGTGTCTTTATTTTATAGGTTTATTTAATGCTTTTGATGAAAATCGTGACAATCACATAGACTTCAAGGAGATATCCTGTGGGTTATCAGCCTGCTGCAGGGGCCCCCTGGCTGAAAGACAGAAATGTAAGTGTAATAAATAGTGTCTGCAAAGTGTCACATTATGTAAAGACAGAATTGGCTTTCATCCATGCATCACCATTTGTGGATTAAGGATTGAGTTTCTTAACTATCATGTTGGCAAATAGTAATCTCATAATTGGTGATTTAGTGTGTTTTTGGTCAAAGGAAACAACAATCTATTCTTGAGTACATGCTAGGATATAGTTTGGGATCTTTTCTGTTTTTAATAGGATTGGTTATCCTGGAAAATCTGAAATTCCTAATTAATAAAATATAAATGGAGAAAATGTATTTTTTAAATGGGGGGGGGTCTTAGCTTGGACTAATCTGGCACTCTTTCTCAGCCTCCCACCACCACCACCCCGGCCCCCCAACGCCGAGACAGAGTTTCTGTGTAACATTCCTGGCTGTCCTGGAACTTGCTTTATAGACCAGGCTGACCTTGAACTCACTGAGAACCACCTGTTTCTGCCTCCTGAGTGATTAAAGTTAGCCTGGCCTCTCTCAGTCTCTTGAATGCTAGAATTGCAGGTGTGAGCCAACACGCTTAACTGAAAATTTTATATAGACTGTTTTATATCTTACATAATTTGAAGCATAACTCATTCTGTCATTTATATACATTAATATTCTATTCATAAGATAAAATTTTTAATTGAACATAATTTTATTAAATACTAATGATAATTTTCATCTAAAATGGTCTTAAAGCATAATTTATAAGCATAAATATATTGTTAATAAATCTTAACCATAGTAGTGGAAGTGTCACAGTTTATTTGAGATTTAGCATAAATATATTTACAAAGATTCATAATTTTTTTATTTCTTAAAATAGAGCTTTCCCCAAATGTCTCTTTTGGTATTGTGCTTGATATTTTTTAATCTTATGCACATGGAATCGATTTATTATTGTAATTAACATATTAGGAGGGTTATATAGGGATTTTTGTTTGGTTGTTTTTCATTTGTTTTGGGGTGTTTTTTTTTGTTGTTGTTGTTCTTTTGTTTGTTTGTTTTTGAAATACGAAGATGGGGTTTCTTTGTGTTAATATCCTTGGTTGTTCTGGAACTCACTCTGTAGACCAGACTGGCCTTGAACTCACAGAGATCTGCCTACCTCTGCCTCGCAGGTACTGGGATTAAAGGCATTTACTACTATTGCCTTGCTTGATTTTGTTTTTTTGAGTAGCCATGGTTATACTGGAACTCTGTAGACAAGGCTGGCCTTGAACTCAAAGCAATCCTTGTATCTCTGCCTCCAAGTACTGGGATTAAAGATGTGTGCCATTATGCCCAGTTTATGAAAGGATAATCTTCCCAATTCAGATTTCTTTGTTTTGTTATTCCAAATTGGGTGTTTTGAAAGATTTATTTATTAAGATGCATGTATCTATTATGTTGTTCTGCTTGCATGTATGCTTGCACACCAGAAGAGGGCACCAGATCTCATTGTAGATGGTTGTGAGCCACATTGTGGTTGCTGGGCATCGAACTCAGGACCTTTGGAAGAACAAGCCAGTGCTCCTAACCTCTGAGCCATTTTGACAGATGATTTCTTTCTCATTAAAATCTGTTTGTTTCTTTATTTATTTGGTTTGTTGAGACAGGGTCCTACTATGTAGCTCAGGAAGCCTTGGTTGCTTCTGCCTCTCACGTGCTAAGATAAAAGGCATGCACTAGCACATTCAACAATTATTTTTCATTGAAATTTAATGTCTTTTAGGAAAAGTCTAAGGTTTGGGTCAGTGATGTAGCTTGATGGATAAGAGAGCTTGCCACTATGTCAAACAACTAGCATTGGATCTGAGGGACCTCCTACATGGTAGAAGTATAAAATTGTCTTACTCAAATTATCCTCAGACTTCTACATGTACAATTAAATACACTAAGTAAATAAATGCAATTTAAAATTATTTTTTATTTTAAACTTTCTCTCTCTCTCTTTCTCTCTCTCACACCAGAAGTTAACAAACTAGAATGATTCATTTAAAGTAAATTGTCTGATTCTTACATTGTTGCATATAAACTTTATTAAAGAGTTAAAATTACACTAGACAAAATATTAAATGTAAATTAGATTTTTTTTTTTTTAGACAGGCAAAGTAGAAATAAGAGTCTAATTCTCAATGTAGATGGAAATTTTAAGCATAGGAGAAAGCTCTTCAGCAATCAGTCTTGAGTATGAGAAACTGAGTGCAGAAGACTAACCTAAGGGAGGGGCTGTAGGTGAGTACAGAGAAAAGCATGTGCATAGCATGACCAAGGCTCAGGTTTGACTCAGCAGCACCAGGGAGAAGAGAGAGATCCAAAGATTTGCCTTGCCTCTTGAAAACTTGTAAGGTAATGCTTTTTACAGAGTGACTGAGCCCCTTCTTCCAGTGGATAAGAAAGGTAGCTCTAGATTTGGCTGATGGATGGGTCTCTTCAACCTGGCCAGTAATTTAGAGACAGTCATGAGTTCTACTCACCAAGTTCTGTATGTTACAATAATAGTAATAATAATACTGTAGTATAGTCAGTCTACTCCTGATGAGAACTGCTCTAGTGCATACTGGCTTGGGAAATTAAGTAATTGTACAGGGTAACTTCTAATGAAATGTGTCGTGTTTTAGAATCTAAAAGTGATTTCTGTTTATGAGAGTTTGTTCTTATTAGTTTGCTTCAAGGTGTTTGATGTTGACCGTGATGGAGTTCTCTCCAGGGTTGAACTGAAAGACATGGTGGTTGCGCTTTTGGAAGTCTGGAAAGATAACCGCACTGATGATATTCCTGTAAGTTCCGATTCTTTTTTGTGGGTTGGTTGATTTTTGACACAGGGTTTTAATATTACTAAGGCAGGCATGTAGTACTAGTATCCCTTGTCCTGTTAAGTTCTAATTGTTTAGAAGGAAGATGGAGTGAATGAGAAGAAACAAAGAAAAAAGTTTTTTTTTTTTTTTTTTTTAAAATTCATGGAGAGGCTAAAAATTATACTCACTACTCTTTTGGATTTCTTTTTAAAGGAATTACATATGGCTCTGTCAGACATTGTAGAAGACATATTGAATGCACATGATACCACAAAGGTGAGGCTGGCTATGAGTAATTTATTTTTTTTTCTAAAAATACTATGTGCTGTGTCTTTTATATGTATGGTCAAGTGACTCTTCTGCATTATCCCAACTTGTCTGGACCTGTGGTTGAAACACCTTCACATCATCTCTGAAAATCTCCCATTCCATCTTCTAACAGCAACAAAGTGAAACTAATATATGAATTGAGTAGACATTTCCCTTGGCAACATTAGTTTATGTTCTTTCTTTCTTCCATTTAATAAGTTATGGTAAGGCCAGCTTTATACTATAAAATAACCCAAAAACAGTGTATCTATCATGGCTCTATTATATCAGATTTAAGAACAGAAGAAAAGCTAACAGTGGATGACATAGAGGTTGTCACTCCTGTAGTACTGAGATTAACTGGGAATTACCATGAAGATATCCGAGGCCACTGATTTACAAATAATAACTCTTTAAGTTATTTAGTTTGGTAAGACTTACTGGTAGCAGTATCGTAACATTTACTTCTCTAGCTTGGTTTTTGTTTGTTTGTTTGCCTGTTTGTTTTCAAGACGGTGTTTTTTTTTTTTTTTTTTTTTTTTTGTGAAACAGTCCTGGCTGTCCTGGAACTCATTTTGTAGACCAGGCTAGCATGGAACTCAGAGAAAACCATCTGACTCTGTTTCCCAGAGTTCTGGGATTAAAGGCTTGCACCACCACTGCACTGTTTCTGTAGTTTATTTTAAAGTTTTATCTATTTGTCTCTGTCAACTTGAAAATAATTTATACATGAAGTACATTTGAAGTAATTTGAATCTGTTCATTCAAATATTGACACATACTTAGTATCAGACTGGTAAAGTATAAACCATAATGGTGTTATAAAATTGAGGTTTAGAAAAAAAATTAAGTCAGTTATTTTTCTTGATCCAATTACAGTTGCAGAAGGAATGATATCCCTATTAAATGATTCTCAATAGAAACAAATGATTCATTTTTTCAGGGCTGAAAGTCTATTTATCAATTTAATCTTCCCCCTTTATCCACCTTCTCTTTCAAACTAAGGTGCCCACTTCTATTTGGTGTGTGTAAGAACAAAAACCTTGAGAAGGTACTGTTAAACATTGCTTTGTGCCAGGTGGTAGTGGCACACTGCTTTGGTTCTAGCACTTGGGAGGCAAAGACAGAAGGATCTTCCTGAGTTCTATGCCAGCCTGGTGTACAGAACTAGTTCCAGGACAACTAGGACTGTTACATAGGGAAATCCTGTCTCAAAAGAAAGAAAAAAGAAAAAAAGAAATTGCTTTATAGTTTATTTGTGATGGTGCACAACTGTGATCCCATTATTTAGAAGAGCAGAGTTAAGAGTTTAGCAAAACCTCATTATTTAAAAGACTATAGAGATTGTGGTAGCACACACCTTTAGTCCAGCAATCAGGAGGCAGAGGCAGACAGATCTCTGAATTCAGGCTAGACTGGTCTACAGAGACAGTTCCAGGATTGTCAGAGCTCTTGAAAAACCAAAAGAAGAAAAAAGAAATTGCTTTGCATAGATTCGCAGTTTGAACACTTCTTTTCTTTGGCATCTTACAAATACACAAATGTTGTTACCTATGGCTAGAGAGATGGCTCAGCAGTCAAGAGTATATACTGCTCTTACAAAGGATCCAAGTTTAGTTCATAACCACCTGTATACTCCAGTTACAGGGAATCAGATCCTTGCCCACCTCTTTTGTATTCTCTATACACACTCATGCACGCACGCACATATTTACGGACAATTAATTAAAACCAACACATATAATTAAAAATAAATTTTAAAAAACAGATTGGAGAGATGGAGTGCTCAGTGTGGTTCTGAGCACTGGTTGCTCTCCCAGAGGTACTGAGTTTGATTCCAAGCACCTACGTGGTTCCTCACAACTTTATGCAACTCCAGTACCAAAGGATCTGATGCCTTCTGGCTTCAGCAAGCACCAGGTACCCAGGCACCCATATGGTGCACAAGCATACATACAGATAAAACATGCATACATTTAAAAAAAAAACAAAAACAAAAACTAAGTACTTATTTCTTCACACACACAGAGAGAGAGAGAGAGAGAGCCCATTGTTAGTTGCCTTGTGGGTACTGAGAAGTGAACCCACATCCCTGGAAGAACATTTGGTGCTCTTAACCGATGAGCCCATCTCTGTAGCCTGTCTTTTGATTTTTCAAGACAGTTTCTCTGTGTAGCCCTGGCTGTCCTGAAAGTCTCTTCTCTGTAGACCATCCTGGCCTCAAACTTGATGCTCTGCCTGTCTCTGCCTCCCAGTACTGGGATTAAAAGCCCTACTTAAGTAGTATATTTTTATGTTAAATGAAGTTTAACATTTCTAGATCCATTGACCATTGAGCAGATTGCGTAACTGCTGAAATCTCCATGTAACCATGCTAATAAAATAGTGACAGTTTAGGGAGGGCCTGGGATATTTTGCTGACTCACCAGTAATACCTCTCCATTTATCTAAAACATCTATTGTTATTGTTCTTTGTATTTTGTTGCTTTTTTAAGACTTGATCTCATTTATGTGTAGCCCAGGCTGGTCTCAAACTCTCAGGGTAGCCAAGAATGGTCTCAAACTCCTGATCCTCCTGCTTCTACTTTGCAAGTACTGGAATTACAGATTTGTGGCACTGTGTGCAGGTTATTTCTTGCATATTGAAGAAAAGAAATTAATAAGTGCTTTGTTTCCATTGACTGCTTGAGCAAAATTATAGATTTTTTTTTAATATTTTATCACATGTAAATTTATACTAATTGTCATACTTTTTATGTGAATCCATACCATCTGTGTATTGTTTACTTGCTTTCAGAAATATGATTTTATTCTAGTGCTGTAATAAATGACATTTATTGACAGGAGATCTCTCTTTCAGATGGGCCATCTTACTCTGGAAGACTATCAGATCTGGAGTGTGAAAAATGTTCTTGCCAATGAGTTTTTGAATCTCCTCTTCCAGGTATGTTTAAGGCCAATGACAGATATGGGGAGAAGGGTGATGGTACCAGTAATTCTGTGTCTTCTGTCAGTGTGCCTGTGTTAGCACATCCAGGCCAAAAAACAGTGTCTTACAGAAAAGCATAACTATTTTATCTTGAATCTAATAGTGATTACTTTTGTTTCTTTTTTATAATCTTTTCCCTGTTAAAACACCTATAAAAGTCACAATGACTTAAAATTAGAATGTTTATATTTCTTATGATTTTCCATTTTCAATGAAGGATAAATTGCATGCAACACAGCTATGTGAATAAGTGGAAGTTGGTCTCTTCTTGAAGCTAATGCCTAATTGTTATAGAACTAAAACATACACTATTCTGCTATTGGAGCTTTGGAAGGTAGTCTCTATTTTTTAAAAAAAAAAAAAATTAAAATCTACATGACTAAGTTAATTTCTTCAGGTAATAATAAACCAGTTAAACCATTGTTAATTCAGTTCCTATTTAAAAATAGGTTTCATGTAAATAACATCAAATATCATTCAGCCTAATTATTAGCACCAGTAGTAAAATTTGAATATCCTTTTCCTTTTTCTCTAGGTATGCCACATAGTTCTGGGGTTAAGACCAGCTACTCCAGAAGAAGAAGGACAAATTATTAGGTAAATTTGTAGTTACTGTGTATTTTTTATTACATAGTACATTAGTTACAAGGGCCAGTTTGTCTTGCTTTAATTATTACAGTAAAGCTGTTTTTAAAAATTACATGTAGAGGCCTGAGTGATGGCCCACACCTTTAATTCCAGCTTTCAGAAGGCAGAAGCAGGTGGATCTCTGCTTTTGAGGCTAGCCTGGACTACAAAGCAAATTCCAGGACAGCCAGGGCTGCTACACTGAGAAAAACTAGATAGATAGATAGATAGATAGATAGATAGATAGATAGATAGATAGATAGATAGATAGATAGAGACTGACTGACTGACTGACTGACTGACTGAGAAAAACTTGATTGATTGATTGATTGATTGATTGATTGATTGATTGATTGAGCGATCCTTCCTAGCTACAGAACTAGATTAAAAGTCAAATTATGTTTAACTTTAAAATTGTACTGGGGCTTGGGATATCACTCAGTGGTAGAAAATTTATAATCTAATGTAATTTCTGAAAGAATTTTCAGAGCAGCAAGAAAAAAGCAACTTGTCCTAATGGGAGAACCTTACTAAGAGTACTCAACTTTTCCATCAAAAAGCATGGAATTCAGAATTAAGAATGGTAGGGAAAAAACTAAGAATTTTGTATCCAATCAAACTCTCTCTTTAAAATGATTTAAGCAGGGTTAGTGGAGGAGATAAAGAGAAAGTGGGAAAGAAAAAGAAATTAATTTGGATTTTGCATCTGATTTTTACATGTGACTCCAGAAACATTCTCTTACAGAGTAACTTAGTTCTCCTAACAGTTTAAAAAAAAAACAAAAGGCAATATTAACAAACTATATCTCCCGTAAGTCTTTAATAACCAGAATGGATGAAGAGCCGCTATTACTCAACAACAAAAAGATAACTGGTTACTGTATGAGGCAGTGACATCTGCATACAGCTGTACCCTTGACCATTATCACTAGGGTTCTGTGTCTGGGTTCTGTGCCTGGAACCTACTTGAAGGCCAAAGGAGAAAACTGATTCCATTAGGTTGCCCTCTGGTTTCTATCTACATGCAGTGGTGTGTGTGCACTCACAGATACACACATACACACGCATGCTCACTCAGACACACACAATAATGGAAGTTTTAAAAATTTCTGATGGGTGGGGTAGGAAATGAGCCTGGTAACTTATCTCAATTGTCTTAGAGTAGTTTAATGTCCTCAAGTATATTTTTTAAAATGTAAGATAATCCATGTTACCATCAATTATAACAAGAATCCTTGTGGCTGGATTTTACATCTAATAGCAATTTGAAGCTTTATTTAAAGAACTATATGCAGCCAGGCTGTAGTGGTACATGCCTTTAATCCCAGCACCAGGAGGCAGAGGACAGGGCAGCCTGGTCTACAAATCAAGTTCTTGCATGGCTAAGATTACACAGAGAAATTTTGTCTCAAAAAAAACAAAAACAAGCAAAACATAAAAACTGTATGTAACAAGTGCTTTTTATTACTTTAATCAATATAGTTTTATTTTCCAAATTACCTAATAGGTCATAATAAAACTTGTTGATGTGCCTTCAGTTATTGAGCTTGATGTTTATTTTCATTTTGCATGTTAGTCATATAATATTTATCTCTGTGAGATGTAACTAAAAAAAGAGAACTACAAATTGTTACATAATGTTTTCACTGCATCAGTGGACATGCTTTCCATTAGAGATACTCAGATGGTCTTCAGGCACATAGAAACATGAACAATATAATTATATATTAAGTGTGTAAAATCAAAACTGCAATGAAATTCTAGTTCTTACCCACCAGGATAGTTTTATATTTTTGTTATTTTTAAATTTATTTTACTAAACATAGAAATGCTTAAGTTTTATTATGGTATTTTTCAAACTAAATTTTTGCTACATCTTTGTTTTTGTGAAGAGGGAAATGTGATGGGCCATGTGTGGCAGTTACAGGACTCACTGTTTGAGTTATTATTCTATTGCCATGACAAAACACCATGACTAAGGCAACTTATGGAAGAAATTTTTACAGTTTCATAGGGTTAGTTCATGATCACCTTGTCAAGGAGCTTTGGCAGCAGGCAGTCATGGTGCTTGAACAGTAGCTGCAACAAGTAAAGAAAGGGAAAAAAACTATGTATAGTGAAGGCTTTTCAAATCTCAAAGGCCACTCTCATTAACACACCTCCAACAAAGCCACTCCTAATCCTTTCCAAATAATTCTTTTAACCAAGGACCAAACAGTCAAACTTGAGCCCTTGAGAGCCATGCTCATTCAAATCATCACAGTTACCCATTGGCTGAACTGCAGGCCAACAAGCTCCAGGAATCTACCTTCTTACAAGCTTGGTGCTTGGATTTTAGGTGTGCACTACTATACCTGGCTTTTACATAGTGCTGGAGATCCGGTCAGGTCCTTGTACTTGTTTGTTAAGCTTGTGTGTTAAGCACTTTACCCACTGAGCTGTCTTTCCAGCCCCTAAACTGTTTGTGAGTGGTATTTCACAATAGCTTGTGACTATTGAAATTGACTTTCTAGTAGAACACTGTTCTACTGCATTAATTGAAGTAGTGGCAGTCTCTGCTGAGTATATGTTTCTGCTTCATGTTTTTCTGTTTTGAAATTTCTGATGAAATAGAAAGTAATTCTAGTGATAAATTGCAGTCTTGCCTTCAGTTTCACAAAATTTCTTTTGTATGTGCAGAGGATGGTTAGAACGAGAAAGCAGGTATGGTCTGCAGCCAGGACACAATTGGTTTATCATCTCCATGCAGTGGTGGCAACAATGGAAAGAATATGTCAAATACGTGAGTTAAATTCCTGTATATATATATACATTTTATAGCAAGATTTTTAACTATATCAGACTGTGGAACTACCTTGTAACATAATGTGCTGACTTGGACCAAGATTTATGAAGATTGGTATGGGGCAGGCTCAATGTATGTATGCACTTCTGTACAAATTTCTTCCCTTGTCACTAACCCTATGAAAAAGGTAGTGCCTATTTATGTTACACACTGTAGATGCCATTTAGTTCTCATATTTCTATGAGGAAGAGGGTAAATTCATTGCTGGGTAAATTGTTGCTGAGAGAAAAAGAAACTTGGATATCTTGTTCAGTGTAGTCCTGGGATCCAGTATAGCAACTGGTTTTTGAAATATGTGTTGTCAATTATATTATTTGCATTGTCCTTTGCCTTTTACATTAAAAAAAAAAAAATGAGAGAGAGGCTGGGTTGTGGTGTCCCACAGCTTTAATCCCAGTACTTGGGAGACAAAGGCAAGTGGATCTCTGTGAGTTCTAGGTCAACCTGTTCTACACAGCGAGTTCCAGGACAGCTAGAACTACATGGAGAAACCTCATCTCCAAAAAGCAAAATAAAAATTTGATAGGAGATGTCATTCTGTATATATGTTTCTCATACTGGTTAATGAATAAAGCACTGTTGGCCAATAGGAAAGGAAGATAGGAGGGACTAGGAGTCAAGGAGGAAAGAGCAAGTAGTAAGGAGGGGTCAAGAAAGAGAGTCTGGAGAGAGCTGGACGTCAGCCCGCTCTCTGAGGGTAAGAGGAGGCCACATGGAAATACATATATTAACAGAAATGGGTTAATACATAAAACAGAGCTAGCCAAAAGTACCTGGATAGTACCTGGCCAGCAGCATTATATCAAATACAGAGTCTCTGTGCGTTAATTGGGGCTGGCATGGCGGCCGGAGGAAAAACCTTACTCCTTACAAAAATTAGAGGAAATTAATAAGGAGTATTAATATTTTACTCAAGAAACTTCATTTCAGCTGGGCATAAAGGTCACTCTTATAGCCCCTGCAAGTGGATCTTTCTTATAAGTTCAGTTTACTGTTCTGAAGGTTGAACTTTAATGCCTAACACATAGTAGACAAGCACACTACCATTTGGCTACATTCCCAGCCCATTTGTTTTCCAATATAAAGCATATTAACGGCAAATACGGACTGTAGTGTCTCTCAGGGAGTAAAAGTATGCAGACTTCAGGGATCTGTTGGCAGATAACGCTGAATATAGTAGACAAATGGGAATCTTAAGGCTAAAGCATCAGTCTTTATTTTGAAACACTTTTTGATCTTTATATTCGTAGTTTGGCCTTAGTATGAAAAGGTACTAATATCTTACTAAATGTAGCTTCAAAGAATAACATACTTTTTTCTTAAATATGTTACTTTTAATTTTCAATAGGAGCATGATAGAGCGCTTAAGCACACCCCTTATAAAGTATACTGACAAGATTAAGTAAGCCTGCTTTTGTTCATGCCTGCCAGAAACCTTTTGTGCATAAAGGAGGCAAAAGCAGGAAGATGAACACCAAGTCATAGCTTAATTGATGTTTTGCTTAGACACTGATTATTATTTACTACTTTCTTGTCTTTGCTCTGTAAAAAATAATGTCTCAACTCATCTTCTACATGTACAGATAATTTTCCAGTCATAAGGAATAAAATACCAAATAAAATGGCATATGAGATCCCAAAGTGGGCTACATAGTAAGATAGTATCTCAGAAAAAAAATTAAACACATCCAAAAAATAACTGCAATTTTTGCTAAATGTTGGGCTCTAAATACAGAGGGTATTTGCTTTCTTCATTCAAAAAGATATATATGTAAGTATGGTATGTATGTATGTATGTGTGTATGTATGTATGTACACACACATAATTGTATATATACATACACACATATATGCATATATATTAAGTTTATGTGTATGTCTATGTACCATTATGCATACTTGTTCCCAAGAGGGTCTGAATAGGCATCAGATTCCCTGGAACTGGACAATTAAAGTTGGTTGTGAGCTGCCATGTGAGTGCTGGGAACTGAACATGAATCCTGAAAGAGCAGCAAATACTCCTAACCACTGAGCCATCTGTGCCCCATCTTTGTGATATATATAATTTTTTATGGTTTTTTAGAGACGGGGTTTCTCTGTGTAGCCCCTGGCTGTCCTGGAACTTGCTCTGTAGACCAGGCTAACCTCAAACAGAGCTCTGCCTGCTGCTGCCTCCCTCGTGCTGGGATTAAAGGTATGCACCACCACTGCCTGGTTTATATACATTTTTATACATTTTTCTTGAGCCAGAATCATAGACAAAGCTGGCCTAGAACTCTGTCTTACTGGCTGTGTGTGCTGTAAAATTATAGATATAAATGGGGTGAAGAGCCAGAAGTCAGCATGCCCCTGTCACTTTCCACTTTTGTGTCACTAAGTTATTAATATGTGATCTCTCAAGTTTTTTGATGTTGGTTTTTAGTACTATAAAATTTCTTCTTAGAACTGCCTTCATTTTTGTCTCACAGATTTTCATATGTTGTGTTATCATACTGATTCTAAGAAGTTTTTATATTTCTTTCTTGCTTTCTATGTTGACCCAGTTTTCATTCAGTAGTGTGTTTAGATTCATGATTTTTGTGTATTTTCTGTTATTTGTATTGCTGTTGATATCCACCTTTAATTTGTGGAGGTCAGGTAGGATGCAGGATGTTATTTTAGTTTTTCTGTGTTTGCTGAGACTTGCTTCATGTTCTACTATGTGGTTGATTTTGGAAAGTTTCTTGGGGTGCTGAGAAGAAAGTATAATGTTTAGTATTTGAGTAGAGTATTTTGTAGATATTTGTTAGGTCCATTTGACTTACGATATTATTTAATTCCAGAGTTTCTGTTCATTTTTTTGTCTGGATGACCTATCTTTTGAAGAGAGTGAGGCATTTAAGTCAACCACTATCACTGTGTTAAGCTCAATGTGTGATATTTAGATATAAAAGCATCTTGTGTTTGTGTATAAATGCATTGTAAATATCCTCTTGGTTAATTTTTCTTTAAATGGGTATGCAATGTGTTTCCTCATCTCTTCTAACTAGTTTTAAAGTCTATTTTATCAGATACTAAAATAGCTATGCCTACTTGTTTCTTAGTTCCATTTGCCTGGAAAACCTTTTCCAACCTTTTTACCCTATGATAGTATCTGTCCTCAATGGTGAGATATGTTTGTCCTTTTTTTTTTTTTTTTTTTTCTTTTTTTTAATTGAGGCAGTTGATATTGAGAATTATTGTTTAACAATGTTTGTATATTTTGTGGTGGTAGTTTTCTTAGACATCTTTTTATTTTACTGGGATTATTCATTTTGTTCATTTGGTGTGGTAAACCTTCTTTTCAGACTGAAGTATTTATTCCTTCTGTAGTGTTAACTTGGTGAACATAAATTCCTTAAATTTGTTTTTTATCATGAACTATTTTTTTCCTTTGATTTTGACTGTTTTGCATTATGTAATAATCAGAGCTGGCATCTCTGGCCTTTCAGACCATTGTGGTACATTCTTTTCTTTCCCAGTGTATTGATGAGTATATTGTATTATATGAATATATTATAGACATTGTGTGTCTATGTATACATATACTCATTCTTCCCTTAAGGAAGTAAAATTTAATTGTATAGTAAATGACTTCAGCAATTCACAGTGATAACTAATTTCTTGAGGGGTTAGAAATATGGTTAAGTGGTTAAGAGCTGTAATGGCTCTACCAGAGAACCCAGGTTCAATTCCCAGGGTCCACATGGCAGTTTACAACCATCTGTAACTCCAGTTTCAGGGGACTTAACACCTTCTTCTGGCCTCTGAGAGTACCAGGCACACACATGGAACACAGACATATATAGGCAAAACACCCATGTATATAAAATACAATAGAAGCTAAGAAAAATTCTTTAAAAGCTACATAGTTGTCAGATTGTTGAATTTGACCTCTTCTCTATGATTTTAGGATACCAACCCTGTAGTGATTGAGCCATCATCTGTTCTAAATGGGGGAAAATTTTCATTTGGAGCTGCAGTACATCCTATGGAGCAGGGAGAAGATAGAATCAGTAACAGCCTCAGTTATGTGAATACTACAGAAGAGAAATACTCAGACAACATTTCTTCTGCATCTGAAGCCTCAGAGTCTACTGGCAGCGGTAAATATAATTTGGCTCCCATAGGACTTAGTAATGGTTTTTGTTTGCTTTTTTTGTTTTTGTTTTCGAGACAGGGTTTCTCTGTGACACTTTTTGGATCCTGTCCTGGAACTGTCTCTGTAGACTAGGATGACGTCAAACTCAGATATCTACCTGCCTTTGCCTTCTGAGTACAAGAGTGTACCCACCACCACCTGGCTTTTTTTTTTTTTTTTTCTTTAAAGATTTATTTATCATGTATATAGTGTTCTGTCTGCATGTATTCCTGCAGACCAGAAGAGAGCACCAGATCTCATTATAGATTGTTATGAGCCATCATGTGGTTGCTGGGAATTGAACTTAGAACTTCTGGAAGACCAGATAGTATTTTTTGTTTGGGTTTTTTTGTTTTGTTTTGTTTGATTTTTTTTTTTTTTTGTTTGGTGTTTTTGTTTGGTGTTTTTGTTTTTTGAGACAGGGTTTCTCTGTGTAATCTTTCCAGCCCCTGGTGATGTTTTTGACACAGGTTCTCATGTAACCTAGACTAGCCTTGAACTTGCTTAATAGCTGAGGAGGACCCTGAACTTCTGAAACTCTTACCTTTGCTGCCTAAGAACTGGGATTGCAGGCATATACTACCACACCACACTCATGATTATTCTTAGCTACTTCTACTTTTGTGGTTATAGTATTGGAATCAGACTTCCTTTCAAAGAAACACATTTTTAATGAAATGATCAATTATAAAATTCTTGAATGTATTATAGGTTTTTAAGTAAACTCATAATCTCTCGATATTAAAGTCTTTTCACTTTTCATTAACCAATCCATACTGCTATTTAATCTATTTTGCCAATAAATTTAGTCTAGTGAAAACAGATTTTTAAGAAAATAAAATTATCCATCTCCAGAACTCTTTAATCATAAATGTGTGCCTTCATTGAATTAGAGTCCTCATATCAGATTGTCTCAACACCTCAGTCTAGAATTTTGGAATTTATTTTGTTAAATATTATGTATTAATAATAATAATTCCCTTCTGTCCTTTGTACTTATCTGAAACTTAATGGATCTATACTTATAAGGAAGATACTTTGCTACTACTATAATTCAACTTGAGAATGATCCCTCTTAATTGCTGATAAAATAGCAAAATCCTCAAACGTTATTTTTGCTTCTGACATTTTCTCCCTTTTTCTGCAGGAATAGTAAACAAACTGACAAGCATTTTTCCTTCATTCTGTGTAGAATCTATTTCTCTTTCCTATCTGATACTAGAGATTATTTAGCAGCCCTAGAAGTATTGTGATCTGCTTTAACACAACATTTTATTCTTGTATTTTCTCCTCTTCTCTTTCCTTCTCCGTTTCAGTACAGGGTATCTGATGTGCTAACTTCATTTTCTACTATGAATAATAGACTTAGACTCCCACTCCCCCCCAAAAAAAAAGAGATTTGTTTTTAACTCTGCCAACGTTTCTGTCAGATTTGTATTCTACTATATAGCATTATTACCCACAGGATGAGTAATACCACAAATAGAAGTTTACAAAGCAGTTGATATTTTAAAATACTATCAGATTTAAACTCCGTCATTATTAGTAATTTTTCTCTCTTATTTTTTTTAATTATAAAGATTATAGCGGGGAGGTGGTGGCACATGCCTTTAATCCCAGCACATAGGAGGCAGAGGCAGGCAGATCTCTGAGTTAGAGGTCAGCCTGGTCTGCAGAGTGAGTTTCAGGACAGTCAGAGTTGTTACACAGAGAAACCCTGTCTCTAAAAATAAATAAATAAATAAACAAACAAACAAACAAATAAATAAATAAATAAATGGAAGGAAAGAGAGAATAAAAAAGAAAGTACAGTCATTTACTGTGGGGGGGGGGGACAAAAAACTAAAAATACACTTCAGTGGGCAGTGGTGGCATATGGCATTTAATCCCAGTGCTTGGGATGAACAGGCAAGCAGATCTCTGTGAGTTTGAGACCTTCCTGATCTACAATCTACAAAGCTAGTTCTAGGACAGCTAAGGCTGTTAACACAGTGAAACCCAGTGTCAAAAAACAACAACAACAAACAAATAAAAAAACACTAAAAATAAGAAACTCTGTCATTAATGTTTTGTTTATTTTGTTTCTTGATAGGCTTTTTGTATTCTGGCACACCAGGGGCAGATATGTGCTTTGCAAGGCAACATAATACTTCGGACAATAACAACCAGTGTTTGTTAGGAGCCAATGGGAATATACTTTTGCACCTGACTACTCAGAAGCCAGGAGCTATTGATAATCAGCCACTAGTAACTCAAGAACCAGTAAAGGTAGGTGTTTGATATCAGACTTTAAAATTGTTCTCTTCCATGTAGCCATTAAATTTCAGAGGTTTTAGCACAAAGGAGAGCATTGTAGTTTATTTAACTCAGCCTGTTGTAGGCATGATGCCATATCATGGTACATCTCTGTGAGAGAAAATGTGCTATATCTCCCTGGCTGACCTGGAACTTAAGAGCATCCACCTGCCCCTGCCTCCTAAGTGCAGGCACTAAATGCATGTGCCTCCCTAACTACTCTGGAATTCCCTTTCTTTTAAATAGTTCATTGATGGGAAATGTCATTCTATGAATATGTTTCTCTTATTGGTTAATGAATAAAGCTGTTGCCCAATGGCTAGAGCTTCTTATTGGCTAGCTCTGCCTTAAATATTAACTCATTTCTATCAATCTAAGTGTCTCCACATGGTCTTATCTTACCCGAGAGAGGCTCCGGACCTCTTCTCCCACGTCCTACATCTTGACTCCTCTCTACTACATCTCCCAGAATCCTCCTTGTCTCCTAGTCCTGCTTATCTTGCTTTCCTATTGGCCAACAGGGCTTTATTCATTAACCAATAAGAAACATATTTACAGAATGACATCTCCCATCAGTTCATTGGAAAGTAAAACCTAGAAATCTTTGGCAAAATTCCATTTTCTGGATTGGGGATGTAGCTCAATGACAGTTAACTTGCATATAGTACAGGGTCCATCAAAAATCAAAAAGGAAAAACATTAATTTCCAGCAATATAAAACTTGGAAGTAACATGAATTTGTTCTATGTCTAGATTTTTTTGATGTGCCAGAGACTATAAAATTAAAAATCAGTACTGAAAATTTCATTCTTTCTAAGGCTACATCATTAACACTAGAAGGAGGACGATTAAAACGAACTCCACAGCTAATGCACGGAAGAGATTATGAAATGGTCCCAGAACCTGTATGGAGAGCACTTTATCATTGGTATGGAGCAAACCTGGCCCTCCCACGACCAGTAAGTATAGCTAATAGTGCCTTATATAAGGAGTAGTCAGAGAGAGAGCGCATGCATGTGCGCGCCAAGAACATCAGAGGTTAATACTTACTTTTCTTTATTTTCCTAGTAACAATTTAGTCCTTACTTTATGGTAGCACAATACTTGAAAACTGTTCATATTAGTTAAAAAATAACTATAAGGTTTTTTTTTTCCATTTTATTTATTCAGTTAGTATTTAGGTAATATTTAAGGTTTTGAAAAGATATTAAAATGCACTTATATTATTTCCCTCCATTCCTTTTCCTTCTTCCAACTTCTCCCACCACCCCCACTCCACCCCAAACTCCTGGCCTCTTCCTCCCCAATCATTTACAGACATTCAGGTGCATGTGCATAGGTGTGCGTTCATACATACAAATATATATGACCTACTGAGTCCATTCAGTGTTGCATGTACATGATTTCAAGACTGACCACTTAACTAGTTAGGGGCCTCTTACCTATAGTTTATTTGTCTAGGGATGGGGCTGCTTGAGTATTTCCCCTTCCATGTTAGCATGTTTAGGTTTTGTCCTTAGTTGGGTCTTGTTTAGGCAGCTGTATTGTTGATATATCATAGATGATGCTTTCTTGAGCAATTGGGATTTTTTGTAGTGGTCAGTATGTTTTGAAGAGGTGCTTTGAGGGTTGGAAGCTACACTGACATCTGAGATTTGGAGGGGTTTTTTGTTATGTTTTTTGACTCTTTGTTTTTAAATCAAAGATAGGATGGAAATGTCCAAAGATTCTTATTTTGAAAGATTAATTTATGAACAGAAACTTGAGCATATTCAAATCTAAAATACAAGTAGTGAACTTATTGAACATTTTAAAATTAATATCAGAACTTAGCATGATGACATATGACTATAATACCAGTACTTAAGGGCCTTAGGTTTTGGGGTAGCCTGCTATATAGAGGAACACTGTCTTTAAGAAGAGTACTTTAGGTTAAGATCTAGAGAGTTTTCTCAGTGGTTAGAACACTGGCTGATCTTGCAAAAGATCTTGGGTTTGCTTCCGAGCACCCACATGGTGGCTGACATCTATCTGACACTACAGTTCCAGGGGATCTGACAACCTCTTCTGGCCTTTGTGGGCACCAGGTACACATGTGATATTTATATACATTTATGCAGACAAAAAGCCCATACACATTTGGGGCTGGAGTGACTGCTTAGTGGTTAAGAACACTAGCTTCTCTTCTAAAGGACCTGGGTTTGATTCCAAATACACACATGATTCAACCAGTTGAAACTCCAGCTCCCCCTCTTTGGGTCTTTAAGGGCACAGTACTCATGTGGTGCACAGATATACATGCAGGTAAAACACCCATACACATAAAATGATAAAATGATCTGTTGGTGGAGAGTAAGACAGGGACTTTTTACATAGTTCTGCCTGGCCTGGAACTCCCTATGTATACCAGGCTGACCTCTATTCACAGAGATACACCTGCCTCAGTTTCCTGAATGCGGAGATAAAAGGCATGCACCACCATACCCAGCTTAAAATGTTTTGTTTTGTATTGTTTGTTTTTTGAGTTCAGCACCAAGAGGGGCTGAAGAATTGGTTGAGTTTAAGAGCACCTGCTGCTCTTTCAGAAGACCAGGATTTGGGTTTGGTTCCTTGTACCCACATGGCAGCTAACAATCATCTGTATCTCCAATTCTAGGGAATCTGTTGTCCTCTTATGGCCCCTGCAGACACTAGGCACACATGTGGTACACATACATACAAGCAAGCAAAACACTCATACATGAGATAAGTAAATCTATAAAACTTTTTAATAGAACCTGAAATTTGACTAAAAGGGTTTTCTTTCTTTTAGAGTCATCACTATGGTTTTTTATTTTCTGTTTTTGTGTTTTTTGAGACAGGGTTTCTCTGTGAAGCTTTGTAGGCCAGGCCGGCCTCAAACTCATAGAGACCCACCTGCCTCTGCCTCCTGAGTACTGGGATGAAAGGTGTCTGCCGCCACCACCCACTTGAGTCCTCACTACTTTCTTATTTTTCACAAAAATAGGTAATCAAGAATAGCAAGACGGACACTCCAGAACTAGAATTATTTCCTCGGTATCTACTCTTCCTTCGACAGCAGCCTGCCACAAGGACACAGCAATCTAACATCTGGGTGAATATGGGTATGATGAGCCTAAGAATGTTTCCTCAGCACTTGCCTAGAGGTAACTTAAGAATGCAGCAAGAATGCCGTGTATTTTCTTAAAAATAAATGGAAAATCACATTGCTCAGAGTCTGGTGCCACTGTGCTAATATATGCTATTTGCTTTCATATAGAATCAGTAAATCATTTGTGAGCTTAGATCTGTGGTCATGCACAAGATTAGATGGGGACGGGCAAAGAAAAGGGAGTATTTTCCTTTTTAGTTTATAAGCTTGTAAAAATAGCAAATAGAATAAATTTCGCATACTTTTTTTTAAGAGTTACACCATTGTAAATTGTCATTATACCTAAGCTGCAGTTAACCAATTACTGACTGATCTTTTCAGCCTTACTTAAATTTATTGATGTAATTAATCCCTTCTGAGCTAGTTTTGTTTTAACAAAATGACAAACATTTCTTACTAGCTAAGAACATTTTGTAAGAGACATAATACACAGCAAATTGGTGTATTTAAAAATGAAAATTATACATTTGCTTTGATTTTTGAGAGAGCTGTGTTGTGGTTTGGTTGTTTTGTTTGTTTATGTTTTTTGTTGTTGTTTTCTTTTTTGGTAGTGGAGGTAGATGTTAAGTCCAAGGCCCTGTTCTATCACTTAGTCACATCCCTAGCCTAATATTGTGGCTTTGAAAAATGCCAAGGTATCCCTCAAAGTCTTACACATAAACACACACACACACACACTCACTCACTCACTCACTCACTCTCGTACGTCCTTAGCCAGATCTGATAGTACACACCGTTAATCCCACTGCTCCAGAAACAGAGGCAGAAGTCATTCAAGGCCATTCTGGTCTACATAGCAGTTTCCAGGCCACCTAAAGCCACATAGTGAGACATAATCTATGGATGGATGGATGGATGGATGGATGGAATGTTTTTTATTACATACCATAAATAAGGTTCTCCTTTGATTCCAAGCTAAAGTTAAATTTTATTGTTGGAAGGTACTATGTATTTTTCCTTTGCAAATATTTGAAATTATTCTTCAATTGAAAAAAAAAAAAAAGAAAAAACAAAGGGAAGCCAGTTGATGGTGGCACACGCCTTTAATCTCAGCACTTGGGAGGCAGAGGCAGTTGGATCTCTATGAGTTAGAGACCAGCCTGGTCTATAGAGCTACTTCCAGGACAGGTAGGGCTACACAGAGAAACCCTGTCTCAAAAAATGAAAAGAAGAGAAAGTGAAAAAGAGAAGAATTAAATTTGAGCTGGCTAGATGGCTACACAGGTTACATGCCACCAACCCTGACAACCGGAGTTTGATCCCCAGACTCACATGGTGAAAGGAGAGAACTGACTTCTACAAATGGTTCTCTGACTTTTATATGCACACTTGATATCCTTGCATACACATGGCACATACTAATAAACATAAAATAGTTTTTGTTTGTTTGTTTTGGTTTTTCGAAACAGGGTTTCTCAGTAACCTTGGAGGCTGTCATGGAACTCCCTTTGTAGACCAGGCTGGCCTCAAACTCGCAGATATCTGCCTGCCTCCTCCTCCTGAGTGCTGGGATTAAAGGAGTGTGCCACCACTCCTTTAATGAATGTGAATTCATTAATTCACAGTTTTGGGCAGTGTTTAAGTTGTTAGAATGTTTCGACTGTCTGTAAAATTAGACTACCACCCCTGTATAAGTACTAACTCTCCTTTGAATTTGAACAAGAGGGCTGGAGAAATGGGTGTATGGTTAAAATCACTTGTTGGTCATGCAGAGGACTCAGATTAGTTCCTAGTACCACATGGTTCTTCACAATCATCCTTAATGCCAGTTCTGATGGATCTGACATCAATTCTAACTAATGCAGGTACCAGGCACACATGTACATATGTATACATATAGGCAAAACACTTGTACACATAAAATAAAAGTGAATAAATCTATGCAGGAATGATGGCTCAATGATTAAGAGCATTTGATGCTCTTCTAAAGTACCTGGGTTTAATTCCCAGCACCCACATGGCACTCACAACTGTCTATGACTCTAGTTCCAGAGGATCTGAAACCCTTACACGGGCATACTTGATGGTAAGAACACCAATGCACATAAAAATAAAAATTAAAAAAAAAAATTCGAGTCAGGGTTTCTCTTTGTACTCACAGAGATCCACCTGCCTTTGCCTCCTAAATGTGGGGTGAAAGGTATGTGCCCCCAGCGCCCAGCTTATTTTTTAAAAATAAATAAATCTTTTTTTGAAGGCTACATTCATTCAGATAGTTGCTTTCACATACTGTTTTGCAACAGTTAGAACAAAACGTGTTCACTCTCTAGCCAAACTTGGGGAAACCATCAAAATCAAGGAACAATAAAGTAGAATCTTTATGAGACATTATTTTTGTTTGTTTGCTTTTTGTTTTTGTTTTTGAAACAGGCTTTCTCTGTGTAGCTTTGGAGCCTGTCCTGGAATTCACTCTATAGAAGACCACGATGGCCTGGAACTCACAGAGATCCACATGCCTCTGCCTCCCGAGTGAGTGCTGGAATTAAAGGCCTGCACCACCACCATCCAGCTATGAAACATGTTTGATGTAACTTTCTGGTAAATAGGAGTGTTAGCATACCTTCCATGGCACCCATAGCTTGTCTTTTTTGATTTCTTTGAAAGATAATATGAGAGGCAAGATACGTTGTTGCATTTTTAGTAAGTGTTTATAATTCTTGTGCTGATCCTAGATTTTTGCTGCTTCTGTAAATTTCTGATTTGCTGGTTCTCTTTTAAAAAGCATAAAATTATGCATATATGTGAGTGCCTGCTTAATGAACTAAACTGTGTGGACTCTGGAACTCAGTTTCCCTTTTTGTGGCTTAGGACAGTGGAGATTGGCTGGGGCATTATGCTTGCCGGTGCTTCTAAATCCTAGAATGGGATAGTTATGATGCTCCAGATTTGTTTCTTAATTTAAAATTGTATTCCTTACTAATTATAAAATCAATCATTGATTATTTTGAATTTTATAAAACTGCTTTCTTGCTGGAATCTTAAAACTAATCCTCTGATGTATAATTGAAGAAATCTGTTCTTTTGTTTTAAGGTTATTCTTTGCTTGCTACTGGATGGATTTGCTTTGCTACATGTTAAAAAAATCATAGTTGAGTTTTGTTATGCCATATTTCTTGTGTGCTTCTTAGTCAAATACTCAGTTATTATCACTGTTCACTAGGAGTTTAAAAAAAAATTGCCCCTTTCATAGTAAGAATCATGCAAACTGTTCTATAGTTGTGAAAACTTGGGTAGAGTTAAGTCATTATTCCTTAAATGGCTTTTCATTATATTGACATGTTTAATTTCTACTTTTGCTTGGAATTGCTTAACAGAATCTAACATCTCATCGGCAGAGAGAAACATTGTAAACTACAGCTTTTGTCTAAATTTTTTACTTAGTAGTTGACCAGTATTTAGCATATTTACAACCTGTCTTTGATTTCCATAATGCCTTGTCATTTTATTGCTTCGTGTTTTAAGTGTACCCAGACTTAGTATATAAGTATGTATGATAAAATCCTTGGATCAGCTTCTAAGAGCCTGAAAGACAGCGAAAGACAGTTGTATCACCAGTCTTTTTGTTTCTACCATAAGCACTTCAGAAACGTAAGGTCATTGTGTTGTCACCATATTGGGTAGGCAAACTAAATTATATCCACCTATTTTTCAACAGAATAATTGTTAGTTAGGAAAGCCTCTTCGCTCCATTTAAAAATACTGTCTGGGCGGGGCTATGGTGGTATATATCTTTAATCCTAGCTCTCTGGAGACTGAGGCAGACAGATCTCTGTGAGTTCAAGGCCAGCCTGGTCTACAGAGTGAGTTCAGGATGGGCTCTAAAGCTATACAGAGAAACCCTGTCTCAAAAAAAATGAGGGGGAAAAATACTGTCTTTCATTGTACAACTTGCACCAGTTTCTCCATGTATGACTGCAACCACAGAATTGGGCCACTTAATGACAGAGAATGATGGGATTAGTAATTAAGTGTTTTAAGAACTAGGTTAAGAGAACACAATTAACTATCTGTGGAATTCAAATTCTGTTTTATTTCAAACATCCTCAGTCTTCATTTTATTTTATTTTCCAGTTCTGGGCATTAAACCCAGGTCTCTTACACATGCTGAACAAGCATTTTACTCCTGAGCTGAATCCCCCCCCCCCCATTCTTAAGCAGAATTTTATTTCATCTTGCTATTAAATATGACCAAACTGAGAATAGCCATATACTGATGACAGTTTTTTATCATCATGTTCCCATTCTTGGGATCAAAATCTGTCAATAATTGGATCACTCTGCTTTTTTGTTCTTTTCATAATTGAGGCTTTAAGATACTTGGGTTGCCATTTTTATCAAGAAGCCCCTCACTTTGGTTTCTTTGAGACAGTGTCTTATGTAGCTCAGACTGACCTTTATTTAGCTGAAGGTGACTCTGATGAACTCTTGTTCTGTTTTACGGAGATCGCCATGTCCATCCATATTAAAGTTTTTCATAGTATTCTTCATTTATAAAATTATTATTTTTATCATTGTTTCCTAAATTACTATCGTCACCATTGCTGAGGCCAGTGTTTTATGTTTGTTTGTCTATTTTTTTAATGTCTCCTTTTTTCCTTATCATAACTACTATAACTATAGGAAATGTACCCTCTCCAAATGCGCCTCTAAAGCGGGTGTTAGCCTATACAGGCTGTTTTAGTAGAATGCAAACCATCAAGGAAATTCATGAATATCTATCTCAACGGCTTCGCATCAAAGAGGAAGATATGCGACTATGGCTGTACAATAGTGAGGTAAGAAGCATCTCAGAATCATAAAAAGTCTGATGTTATATCATGCTTGGAGATATAGTTCAGTGGAGAGCACTTGCTCAGTATATACTATGCTCTGGGTTTAAAAAAAAAAGATTTAAATCGCTGGGAGGTTGTGGTGCATGCCTTTAGTCCTAGCACTTGGAAGGCAGAGGCAGGCAGATCTCTGTGAGTTCAAGGCCAGCCTGGTCTACAGAGTGAGTTCTAAGATAGCCAAAGCTACACAGAGAAACTCTGTCTCAAAACAACATCAACCAAAAAAAGTTAAATCATCATATTTGTAACAGATATGCCAAAAGCCATAGCTGGAGTCTCAATGAAAATTTTAGACTTTTTAGTTGTTATACATACATGTAAACATTTGTCACCTGAGATCATAATGAAAGTTGATCAGCATGAGCAGAGCAGTACCATTTTGTAAAGCTTGCTATGTGGCATTATAGTCTTATTTTTTTTTTCTTTTATTTAATTATGTTTAACCTGCATGTAACGTTTGTACCACACGCATACCTGGTAACCATGAAAGCCAGAAGAGTGGTCAGATTCCCTGGAACTCAAGTTACAAAGGGGTGCAGGGAATGGAGCCTTGGTCCTTTGCAGGGAAAAACAGGTGGTCTTAACCACTGAGCTATCTCTCTCTAGCCCAATCTTTTTTTTTTTTTTTTTTTTTTTTTTTTTTTTTTTTTTTCTTTTTTCTTTTCCTTAATAGGTTTCTTGTTAGATTTCTTTTGAAGTTGTGTATACATGTTAAAAATGCAAACAATACAAAGGACATAGTAAAAATTCTTCATTTCCATCTCTGACCTTTATCTTCCACCTTCCTCAGAGGCAATGCTATTAAAAACTTGTATGTTCTCAGTGTATTCAGTAATGCTTGTACACTGAAGCTGGGTCATAAGTATAGTTTTCCCCAGTTCTCTGTTCTTTAGCACATTCTCTGTTATGTCCTACTTCAGTTACCATTGAGAAGCATAATTATTCAAGAAATAAGGGTACAGTTTGTGTGCCCAAAGAAGGAAAATGTGGGTAGCAACAGGTATGTTCAGTTGCAGGTTACAAACTTACATTGCTATGAGTTAAATCCTACTTCAGCCTCTTGTTAATTATCTAACTGAGGCAAGTCACTTAACACTCTATACCCTAGTTTTTACAGTAAAGGAAATGAAGATTTCTTTGGTCTGTGGTAACTTACCTTATACTATCTCCACAAATTACATATAGTTTTGTTTCAGCAACTTGTAAAATGATAGAACAGACCATCATTCCTTCATCTTGGCACCTAAACTGTAGGTTTAAACAACTAAATATCTATAAAATGAATTATGTAAATGCAAAGGAATAGTAATTGTCATTTTTATTTTGTATTTGTTTCAAGTTTAATAGTCAAATAAATAAGCATTTCCTCCTCTACAGAACTACCTGACTCTTCTGGATGATGAAGACCATAGATTGGAATATCTGAAAATCCAGGATGAGCAACACCTGGTAATTGAAGGTACAGAATAGAAATAGACACCCATATTAGATGGTAGGGGGGGCGGTTGTGATAGTAGTGATGTTCATGGGGCAGTGTTTAGTTTTGTTGTGGCTTTTTGGTGGTTTTGGTTTGGGGGGTAGGTTTTGTTTTGTTGTTTTGGGCGAGGGAGTTGTTGTTGTTTTGTCTTTTTGTATTTTTGAGATAGTCTTTTTAGCCCAAACTAGTCTTGAACTTCACTGAAAACCTTTGACTTCTGATCACCCTGCCTCTGTCTCCCTAATGATGACATAGATTGAGTTTTAGTTTAGGTTAAGACTTTGCAGAATTACTCACTGGGAATCCCATTTCTCAATATAGCATTATATTCCTTATGTTAAGGTAGACCCACTGAACTTCTAGTGTGTTTCTTACCTACTAGATAATAGATTGTTTCAAAAGAAGAATGGCCTGTCTATGTGCAATGTTAGGTTAATCAAGGAAGGAAAATGTGGGTGGCAACAGGTAAATTCAGTTGCAAGTTACAAAGTTTTATAAAATTTTCACACTACCACTTTAAGTTTGAGTGAGGATACCAACATTTACTCCCAAATAGTGGAGATTGAACCTAGGATCTCATACTTGCAAGACTCTTACCCACTAAGTATTGTTCCCAGCTCCTCTCAGACTCCCACTATTCATCATCACTGACCCCTCACCAACAGTGCTGCTTCTGCATTCAGCGATGATTTACACGTAGCATGTTCATGTTGAAACTGGTGTCTTAACCCACAATGTCTCATGAAAACACTGCTAGTTGCATGTATTGACACTATTGAATTACCTCAATGGTTGTTAATTTAATGAAAAGATTTTTTTCTGATGGGCTTTGTTTCTGTTGTGGTGGTGGGTTTTTTGTTGTTGTTGTTTTGGGTTTTTTTGTTTTTGTTTTTGTGGTTTTGTTTGTTTGTTTTTGAGGCAGGTTTCTCTGTGTAATAGCCCTAGCTGTCCTGGAACTCTCTTTGTAGATCAGGCTGCCCTCCAACTCACAGAGATTTACCTGCCTCTGCCTCCCAAGTTCTGGAGTTAAAGGTGTGCACTACTACCTAGCATATTTCTGATGTTTTAAGTTTGGGAAATTTTACTATATCTAAACTTAAATTACTTCTGTAGATGGTTAAATATAATTTTACTTCAAGTTTGCACTTAAGTAGTATCTTAACTATTATTTGAAATGACTTTAATATCCCCAGTAGAAAGAGTAGAAATAAACAAACAATAATAATAATAATGTGTGAACAATAATAATAATAATGTGTGAAGATTCTGTGATGAACTCCATTACTTTGTATTCTAACCAAAAAAAAAAAAAAAAAAAAAAAAAGGCAGTAAGGGGCTCAAGATGTAGGGATGTAGTTCATTTAGTAGATTCCTTGCCTGGCATGCATGAGGTTTTGTTTTGATTTGATTTTTTTGTTTGTTTGTTTGTTTACTTTAGTCTTTCAAGGTAGGACTTCTTAGTATGGCCCTGGCTATCCTGAAACTTGCTCTGTAGATCAGGCTGGCCTAGAATTCACAGAGATCTGCCTACCTCTGCCACCTCCCCTACACGTAACACCACCAAGTGCTGGAATTGAAGGTGTGCCACCACTGTCCAGCCCCACGTCTGTGTATTTGATTTCTGCTCCACATAAAACCAACCATAATTGTAATCCCAGCACTTAGGAAGTGTGGTCTGGTTGTCTTTGGCTACACCATAACAAGTCTGGGCTACATGAAACACTCAAAAATAAAGAGTTGGAATGGTATCAGACCTAATTACTAAAATTTACTTGATTTTTTTTTATATTTTTTTAAGTTCTGGTAATAGAAATAACTTTTTTTTTTTTTAAACAATTGAGTGAATTGTGTGGATAAGAAATTAATACGTTCAAATCTGTCTTTCCAGTTCGCAACAAAGATATGAGCTGGCCTGAAGAAATGTCCTTTATAGCAAATAGTAGCAAAATAGATAGACATAAAGGTAAGTCAACATATTTTTTTATAGACTTCTTTTGTTGTAGTTGGAGATAATCTTATTATGTCATCTAGGCTGTTCTTGAACACTTGACCTTGATCCTTTTGCTGCCTCTGGAGAGGCCACCACACCTGATTTAGACAGTCTTAAATCTATTCTTTCTTGGTCTCTTTTCAAGTTATTTTTCAAATTTCATTCTACCTCTGCAATTAAATAATTTGTACAGTGGATGTGGTGGTACCCCAACTCTTGAGCTAAAGCAAAGATCCAGAGCAGTCTGGGCTCAAAGTAAAACTCTGAAAAAAAATTTACTAACAGCCAGGAAGGTAGCTTAGATGGTAAATTGCATAACATAGGACTGTGAGGATTTTAGTTCAGAGCCCCAACACTCATGTAAAAATTGAGGCACTGCAGTACACACCTGTCTCAGCATTAGGGAAACAAAAATAGGATTCCTGGCCAGGCAGGTCAGCCAGTTAGTGAGCTCCAGGTTCAGTGGGAGACCATGTCACAAAAAGTAAAATGGAGGAAGAAACCCACATCAATCTCTGGCCTTCAAATACCCACATACATACACATAAAAGTAATTATTCACATATATATTTTTGTTAATTTGTTTTGTTTTAAAACAGTGTCTTATGGGTATGACCAAAATACATGGTATACATACATAAAAATTCTCAAGGAATAATACTTTTTAATTTCTGAAGTTTTTTTTTTTTTTTTTTTTTACTTTATGTGTATGGATGTTGTGAATTCAAGTATGTTTGTGCACCACAGGTGTGCCTGGTACCCTTAGGGTTCAACATTAATAGATCCCTGGGACTAGAACAATTGTGAATGTCCACATATGTGCTGAGAATCTAATCAAGGTCCTCTGGAAGTAGAGCAAGTGCTCTTAACTACAAAGCCCTCAAAGAACAAATTGTTTTAAATTTCTTTTCCTTTTTAAATGATTTTTCCAGTACAGCCTCCCTAGGATCCTAAGTATAAACAACCATACCCAGCATAAAGTCATCCTTGGAGAACTTGCTTCTGGGGTGTTTTTCTTGTTGTCTTAAACAGGGTCTCATATTGAACTCCTAATTCTCCTGCTTCTACCTCCCAAGTGTTGGGATTATGAACATGTGCTACTGTACCTAGATACCAACAGCCACAATAATTAAAAACAACACGGCCATTTCTAGGTTACATATGAGCAAGGACCATCATGCTTGCCAAAGAGACTTAATGAAAAACTTACGTAAAAGACCTGATTTAAAAAAAAAAAAAAAAAAAAATTAAGTCAGGCAATGGTGGCTCACACCTTTAATCCTAGCACTAGAGGCCAGCCTGGTCTATGAAGCAGGTTCCACGGTGGCCAAGACTACATAGAGAAACTCTGTCTTGAAAACCACCTACCACCCCCCCCCCCCAAAAAAAAGAAAGTAAGGTTAAAGAAAAAAAAATTTTTCATTATTCATCTAACTAAAAGAATTTTAAAATCACCTTGTTGAAAAGTCAGTGTGGTGACACATGCCTTTAATGCCAGTACATGGAAGGTTAATGCAGGAGGATTCCTAGTTTGAGGCTAACCTCTGATACTAAGTTTCTGTCAAAGAGAGAAAGAAAAAAAGAATAACTCAGTTGAATACAAATAACCATTCCACAGCATGTTGCTATAGCTAGACTTTTGTCTCATTATTTGTTGCAGTTCCCACAGAGAAGGGAGCCACAGGCCTGAGTAACCTGGGAAATACATGCTTCATGAACTCAAGCATCCAGTGTGTTAGTAACACACAACCACTGACACAGTATTTTATCTCAGGGAGACATCTTTATGAACTCAACAGGTAATCTTTTTGACCCACTGGCAGTTTTTCTTCTGTAGCTTTGATCTAAACCCAATATTGCTTAAATTTCTGCCTTATCAAATATGAATAAGGGCCAAGGGATATGTTCCTTGATAGGTAGTTTCGTGCCCATGTGATTGTGAATTATGGAGAATCTTTGGCAACAAATTTCCCTCTCAAACTTCTAGGACAAATCCCATTGGTATGAAAGGCCATATGGCTAAATGCTATGGCGATTTGGTGCAGGAACTTTGGAGTGGAACCCAGAAGAATGTAGCCCCATTAAAGCTTCGGGTAAGCAGACTAAAATAATATGACACTATGTAATTAAGTATCCTAGTATTCAAGTAAATGCAAAATACTGCTAAGTATGTAGTGAACAGGAAGAAAAGACCAAAGAAACAGTACCTCTTTGAGACATTGTTCATTTTACAGATTTGCCAACTGCTTTACTTGTATGAAGAATAATCCCTTTTGGTACCCCTTGTCTGCTAGCATAGGCCACCTATTCTATCTGATGAATTTTTTTTTTTAGCATTGCTAAAGTAATTCATTTGTAAATACTGATAGTTAAACACTATGCTTTTTGGCCTCTAACAAACAGTAAAGCCTAAGAATATAACAAGACCAGAATAAGTAACTAGAAGAAAACATTTATATACTATGACTAGGAAATTTTTCAGGATGATCAATTGCCATTTTACTATTTCTATAAATAGAAATTCATAAATACAAATCTGTGTGAATAAAGAACGGTTTGCATCAATGGTGTCTTAGGGTTCTAGTGCTGTGATGAAGCATCATGACCACAGTAATTGTTATTAAGGAAACATTTAATTGGGGCAAACTTACAGTTCAGAGGTTTAGTCCATTATCATTATGGTAGGAAAATGGTGGCACACAGACTGACATGGTACTGGAGAGGTGGCTGAGAGTTCTACAGCTGGACCAGCAGGCAGCAGGAAGAGAGAGGGACACTGGGCCTGGCTTGAGCTTCTGAAACCCCTTATCCCACTGCCAGTGACACATTTCTTCCAACAAGGCCACACCTCCTAATAGTGCTACTCGCTATGGGCCTTTGGGAGGCATTTTTATTCAAACCACCAAAGATGGGATCAAACTGGGAAATATTAGCCAAAATGCCTCCCTCCCTCCCTCCCTCCCTCTCTCTCTCTCTCTCTCTCTCTTTGATCACTTGAGATTAAAGTTAGAAAGAGTAAATTCTTATCCAGAATTTGCTGAAATAGAGAAAGACTAAATATTGTGCCATTTACTTTCTATCTGATGCTTATTGGTTGAATTTTGGAAAGTGCTTGTTCCAAATTTTATAGGATAGGAAATAATGACAGTTACTCCTCATTTTTATAGTGGACAATAGCAAAATATGCTCCCAGGTTTAATGGGTTCCAGCAACAAGACTCCCAAGAACTTCTGGCTTTCCTCTTGGATGGTCTTCATGAAGATCTTAACCGAGTCCATGAGAAGCCATATGTGGAACTAAAAGACAGTGATGGACGACCCGACTGGGAAGTAGCTGCAGAGGTTTGTTCTGAGTGTCTCTTTTTGTTGTTGTTTTTAAGGAGTTTTGTGTACTACTGACTTAGCTGGGCACCTGTTTTTATTTTTTTTATGCCTTTTGGTGGATAAATTAGGCAATGTAGAAGTTAGAGGTTAGTATTGGATGTCTTCATAATCTATTCTCCACCCTATTTTTTTGAGATGTGGCTCTCAATGAACCTGTAGTTCACCAATTTAGCAGACTGGCTAGCCAGGGATCATCCTATTTCTACCTTCCCAGTTCTGAATTACAGGTGTGCACCAAGACCCTGGTTAACATGAAGTCTGGTTTTTTTTTTTTTTTTTTTTTTTTTTTTCTTTTTTGGCCAACTATTACTGAGTATGTGCCTGCCTGGGACATTGTTAACATATCCAGTGTCACTCCATTCAAGAAAACTTTTAGCAACTGCACATAGCTTCTTGACTGGGCCTTGAATTTTGTGCCCTCTTCCCTTTGTTTCTTCTAGGATGTTATCTGGTTTGAACTTGGACAGGTCTTGTATATGCTGTCACAGTTTGTGTGAGTTTGTATGTACATCCATTCCTGCTGTGTCTGGAAAGCACTGTTTCCTTGGATTCATCTTCCATTTTTGGATGTTATCGTCTTTGTGCCCCATCTCTCAAAAATCTCTGAGCCTTGAGAAGAGAGATGTGATAAAAGACATCCTATTTAGGGATAAATGCTTCAGAGTCTCTCACTCTATGTGTGTTTTTCCATTGTGGGGCTCTATCTTATTTACTCTTTCCAGTTACTGCTAGAAGAGTCTTCTCATCAGGTAGTGGTGGTATATGCCTTTAATCCCAGTTCTCAGGAGGTAGAAGCAGGCGGGTCTTTGTGAGTTCCAATACATAAAGCCAGGGCTACATAGAGAAGCCCTGTTTTGAAAAACTTCAAAAAAATAAAAAGGCTTCTCTGATCAGAGTTCAAAAAGGCATTGATGCACTATCTAGGGGTGTAACAGTATGTTGTTAAGAGTCATTTTATTGCTATGTTTATTTAGTAGAAAACTGTAGGTTTTTCCCCATAGGGCCTATCACCTATCCTCAGATTCTTGGCCTTATTCAGAGTATCAAATATCCAGGACTGGAAAGATGGCTCTATGGTTAAGAGCACTGCCTACTCTTCCGAAGGTCCTGAGTTCAAGTCCTAGCAACCACATGGTGGCTCACAACCATCTGTAAGAAGATATGCTGTCCTCTTCTGGCTTGCAGACATACATGCAGGCATAATACTATGTACATAATAAATAAATCTTTAAAAAAAAAAAGTGTCAAACATGGGTTCCATCTCATGGATCAGGCCTTAGATCCAATTGAAAGGTAGTTGGTTACTCCCAAAACATTTGTGCCACTATTACACGAATGGGTGTGTCCGTTTTGGTTTTTCAAGACAGGGTTCAGGGTTTCTTTGTAGCTTTGGAGCCTGTAGATCAGGCTGGCCTTGAACTCACAGAGATCTGCCTGCCTCTGCCTCCTGAACCCTGGGATTAATGTCGTGTGCCACTACCACCTGGCGAATAGTTATATCTTGCAGTCAAGTCACTATTATAGTTCACAAGGTTTGTAGCTGATTAATGATTACTTTTCTCTTCCTGTAGTGTGTATAGTACCTTCTGGTAAAGGTGAAGCTTATAGTTAAGAACCAGCTCGATTTTTCCATGTTCAATGACATAAGTGTATGGTATCTTCAGCAATGAAATCTTATGGTCAGGTTATATTAGGGTAACAAATAGCAGTGGCAATAACCTGTAATGTTTGAGGGAGTCTATGGGACCTCTTTGGCCAACAATTCAAAAAGATGTAACCCATTCCAGGTTTTATTTGGCAATATATGGTGTGTGGTTAGGTCTCTTTATGTAGCCCTGACTATCCTGGAACTTTCTGTTGCCAGGCTGACCTCAAATTCAACAGAGATCTGCTTGCTGTGCCTCCATAGAGCTAGGGTTAAAGATGTACAGCAACCATACCTTGCTTAGTTTTGAGTTTCTTATAAAAACAATAAATACAAATATGTGGCACAGTTTAAATTTGAACAGAGAGTTTTCTGTGGTTAGAGTTTAAATCCAATATATTTAACCAGCAATTTTAGATTGTGTTGAAAGGGTTATCTTTTGAATTTTGAAATTAAAACTTTGTTTTTCCTTGATAGGCCTGGGACAACCATCTAAGGAGAAATAGATCAATTGTTGTGGACTTGTTCCATGGCCAGCTAAGATCCCAAGTCAAATGCAAGACATGTGGGCATATAAGTGTCCGATTTGACCCTTTCAATTTTTTGTCTTTACCACTACCAATGGATAGTTATATGCATTTAGAAATAACAGGTAGGTCACGGTGTTCTGAAAAACTGATTTATTTTCTTTATTTGGTAGCTTGAATTTATAGTTATTTGTTTGCAGTGAGTTCTCATAAATAAAAGGAGTCAGCATGTTATAATCAAGCACTCCACATTAAGGCACAATTTTAGGTTTCTAAGATTTGGAGGTTGGGCCTGTTTTTGTGCTCATTGGTTCTTTTCTTAATTCCAGTCATAGCAGAAACTCTTTGAAAAGCTTGTAAAGCCAAACATACTTCTTTATCAGATGAATATAAAAAAAACAAATTCTTGATTTCACTCAGTGTTATTCCTAAGTTTTATTTTAGCATTTACATTTTATTTGCAAGTCAGATATATCTGTTGTGGTATGTAAGACTTTCATTGTAACCTGCATTTTACCACTAAAAAGTGTTTTTCTTTACTAGTAATTAAATTAGATGGTACTACCCCAATACGATATGGACTAAGACTGAATATGGATGAAAAGTACACAGGTTTGAAAAAGCAGCTGAGTGATCTCTGTGGACTTAAATCAGAACAAATCCTTCTTGCAGAAGTACACAGCTCCAACATAAAGGTGATATTAATTGTTCTTTCTATGAAATCTGATTCTATTCTTCAGAGATAGGTTTCTCAGTGATTTCAGTTATTATGTTAATATCTTAGTGTCCTATTTCTGAGTTCCTACAGTCCACATCACCCTCGCAAACACTGTCTTCCATGTTCTATTAGAATGGCCCATTAAGACCTGCCTAAAGCATTCCACTGTTTTCCTGATCCAAAGTTCCCAGGTTCACATTCTGCCAACAAGCAGGTCCATCACAGCAATACCCCACTCCTGATACCAGCTTCTGTCTTAGTCAGTGTTTTGTTGTGAAGAGATACCATGACCATGGCAACTCTTATAAAAGAAAGCATTTCATAGAGACTTGTTTACAGTTAGAAGTTTAGTCTACTATCATCATGGCAGGAAGCATGGTGGCACACAAACAGATACGTTGCTAGAGAAGTAGTTGAGAGTTCTACAACCTGATCATCAGGCAGCAGGTAGAAAGAATGACAGTGGGTCTGGCTTGGGCTTTTTAAACCCACTCCCAGTGACACGTTTCTACCAACAAGACCACATTTCCTAGTCCTCCTCAGGTAATGCTACTCCCTAAGGACTATACATTCAAATATATGGGCCTATGAGTGACCATTCTTATTCAAACCACCAAATTTAAATAATCAATGAAGATACAAAACAAGAACATGAGTCAGTAAGATGGCTAAGTGGATAAAGGCACTTACCACCAAGTCTGACCTGTGTTAATTCCCTAGAACCCACATGGTACAGGGAGCTGACTCCTAAAAGTTGTCCTCTGACGTCTACACATGAGCTGTGATGTGTGTTTGCTTGTACCTCATTCTCTCTCTCCCTTCCTCTCTCTCTTTTCCTCTCTGTCTCTCTGTCTCTCACACACACATACACACACACATCAAAATCAGAGCAAAAATATGTGTATATCATTCTCTCTCTCTCTTCTTTTTTCTTTTTTGAAACATGGTCTCACTATGAAGCCCTAGCTGTTCTGGAGCTTCCTATGTAGGAGGGTAGCCTCAAACTTTAATAAGAGTTCCACTTATAGCATTTGCCACCCTGCCCAGATTGTATACCGTGTGTGTGTGTGTGTGTGTGTGTGTGTGTGTGTGTGTGTGTGTGTAATTTATTTTTATTTTATGTGCATTGGTGTTCTGCTTGCGTGTATGACTATATTTTTAAATTTTTTATTCCATTTTAATTTTATTTTTTAATTACATGTCTGTATGTGGGTGTGTGCACTTGAGTAGAGGTGCCTTCAGAGGCCAGAGGTGTTGGATCCCCCTGGAACTAGAGTTACCTGATAATGATTGCTGGGAATTAAACTCAGGTCTGGTCACATATGTGCTCTTAACCACTGAGGTATCTCCCTGGTCCTTTTTTCTTTTTGATGTATGGGTGTTTTGCCTACATGTATGTCTTTGTACTTTGTGTTATAATTTTAAAAAAGCAGCTCAAGAGAGAAATGCCATGCTACAGAATTCAGATGGAGGGGTTTTTTCCTAGGGAAAAGGATCCTAAAAGGGGGAAATGGAACAGAGAAAGATTGTTTTACTGAGTAGTAGTGCACCTTTAATCCCAGCAGAGGTGTAGGAGCAGGCAGATCTCTGTGAGCTCAGGGCCAGTTTGGTCTATGTGGTGAGTTCCAGGACAGCCAGAACTACATAGTGAAACCTTTTCTCAAAAAGGAAAATTACTGTACACTGCAGAGATGATTTTTCTGTTTTATCTAAAACCTTTGTTTCTTTTTTTGTTTGTTTGTTTGTTTGTTTGTTTGTTTTTCTTTTTGTAGAACTTCCCTCAGGACAATCAAAAAGTTCGACTTTCAGTGAGTGGATTTCTGTGTGCATTTGAAATTCCCATTCTTGCATCTCCAGTCTCAGCATGTAGTCCAGTACAAACAGGTAAGATAGAACTAGGCTTCCTTCTCAGGATCTTAGTGTTAAATTTTGGTCTAGGGTCAGCAAAATAGCTCAGCTTGGTAAAGGGACTTGCAGCTAGGCCTGATCTAAACCTGATGACCTGAGTTCAATCCTCATGACTCACATGGTGGATGGAAGAGAACTGACTCTTACAAATTGTTTTCTTACCTCCATATGTGTGCTGTGGCATGTGCTTGCACACACATACATGCATGCATGCATACATACATAAATGTAATGAAATTTGGTCTAAACATTAAAATATATATATTTATTTTCCTTTGTTTTCTGAGACAGGGCTTCTCTGTGTAGCCATGGCTGGCCTGGAACTAACTCTCTTAATAGACCAGGCTGGACTTGAATCACAGAGATCTGAGTGGTAAGATTAAAATCACAGCAGAAACCTTTAACTGGAGATTTTTGTAAGAATTCTAATAATCATTTGACCCATTTTTTTCTTTGGATTGATGAGGAATCTAAAATTCAGAACCAGTAAATACACAAGCTGAGCTCTTTGCTCATGTACATACCATTGACAGTCACATCTCCTTTAACTCTCTGTAATGGTAAGGAGGCACAAACTGAAAGGAACATATAACCAGAAAGTATCAACAATGAATTTAGTAATTAGGAATTTGTCTGTCCAATTATTACACATGCTTTAACATGGTGGATCATTTGGTCCTTTGAGCCTCATATACTTTGTCCTTATGTTGTGGTACTAAGTGTCTAACCTAAGGTCTGTGCCTCTTGGTAGTAGCACATTGTGTAAGAGTATTTTACTGAGGAGATGTTGCATACATGTTTACTAAGCCCAAAAAGTAAAACCAGGAGATCAAAAGTAATGACTGCACCAAAGGCCATTTGGTTAACCAAAAGTTTGTATTGGGTTACTAACAGTAGTGTGGGTGAGGGGTTACTTAGGACCAGAGATGACTCAAAAGAGCAGCAGCATCACCAAGAAGCCCTCCCTAACCCTAGTGAAGATTCAAAAAAATCTGCATCTCTGGACCACTCTTACAGCCTGAGGTAGCTCCCATAGACTGAAAAATCTCTACACCAACAGCAGGTTAACTGTTCAGAGTCTCCTCCCCCCACACTTATTTACTGCTTCTACAAGGTTGCAAAGAGGCTCTCTAGAATCTCACAAGTTTCCACTTTGTCAGACAGGTGACATTGTATTTGTTGCCTGATCTCCTGAGCCTCCCCTTTCCTCTTGGGAAAATGTTTCAGTTGAGAGGAAAAATAATATACAACATAGCAGTTGGTTTTTTGACACAGTGTTACACTGTGTATCCCAAATTTGCCCTGATCTCACTGTTTTGTCCAAGATATCCTCAAACTTAGGACCCTCCTGCCTCTGGCTTCCAAGTGCTGAGATTATAAATGCAAAAATTATGGCCAGGGATTCTTCCTTGACAGGTTAATTCTCCTCCTATAAAAGACTTTATAGGAAGTGAAGCTCCTCTCACTGGCATGTACCAGTGACAGTGATAGTGATAGTAATTTAGTAGATGACTTCATGTTCACTGTTCAGTAGGACTTTGCAATGATGGAAACTGGAATCTCTGTCCAGTATCTATCTAGATAGTATGTATCTATCACTTACATGGGCTATTGAGCACTTGAAATGTAACTATTTAGACTAAGCCTTAGTCACTAAGGAAATACATTTTTATCTTCATTTTCATTTAAAAATTAACAGTTGGCATAAGGCTAGGTTGGACAGACTATTTTGAGAGGAATAGAGAAATTAAGAGGAGAGGAAAGAAAAACTGAATAGTAAAGCTATTTGTGTACCACATGGGATTGTTGCAGTACTACTTAACATTTACCATGGTTTTTTTCCTTTGTCCTTTAGTCATAAGTGTGAGTTATAAAAACAAATTCTAGTCTTTAAATTTACCTATACATTTAGAATTGTTTTTGGTGTATGAGTTTTCCCTGTCCTGAATTAGGAGTCTGCACGTCAATGTCCAGAACACTCATAGTACTTGAGAAAAGAGCAAAGGTGGTGGTGACACAAGGTTATGATACTGTGACATCTCTGAATTTATAGATTGCTCCTCTTCTCCATCTACAAATGGACTGTTCACCCTGAGTACCAATGGGGACCTGCCTCGACCCATGTTCATCCCCAATGGAATGCCAAATACAGTTGTACCATGTGGAACTGAGAAGAATGTCACAAATGGAATGGTGAATGGTCATATGCCACCTCTCCCTGATGACCCCTTTACAGGCTACATCATTGCAGTCCATCGAAAAATGGTTAGTTAAATGTTGGGTGAGTTACTATTGGTATTGTCAACTATCATTGGTGAAATACAGCCATTTTGGTCTCTTCTACATCTTTCTTAAATGTACTCTCATTATATCATATATGCTTATTTAAGTGGTAGAACCAGTTTTCCGTGTTATCTGTGGCTGCCATTATACTAAAACCACATTCCCTACTGTATATTAAGAAGCAACAGAATGCTAGGTGGGGTGTTGCACACTTGCAGTCCCAACACTGGAGAGGCTGAGACAGGAGAATCATAATTTAGAGGCTAGCCATGGTTACATAGCAAGTTCCAGGCTAACTTGGGCTAAATATTAAGACCGTGTCTCAAACACAAAAAATAAATGAGTAAACTGGCTAACCAGTACACCCCAGTACTACTTTCTTCTAGAATGTGTGTCCCACATGTATAGACATGTATCTCTGCCGTGTAAATGTGAGCACCTTTAGAAGAGGTTTTATTATTGTCATTGTGTGTTTTTTGGAGAACACAAGAATGTTCTTTGACAAGTTTGTTTGGTTTTTTTTTTTTTTGTTTTGTTTTGTTTTGTTTTTGTTTTTTTAATAATTCCTCTCTTGCTAAACTAACTCCTTCCATTGAAGGCTAACTTTTTAATTTTTTTTTTAATGGGGTAAAAATAAGTTGGGACTGGAAAGTTGATAATTTCTAAGAACTCACAGAGATCTACCTGCCTGTGCCTCCCGAGTGCTATGAGTCCAGGGTTTAATCTCTAACACTGAAAAGGGCCAAGGAGAAAGAAAAAGAAACAATCACCCCAGGCTCTCAAATTTTTACTTAAGTTTGTTGGCTAAAATACTGCCCTGCTCATATAAGAAGAAAATAAAAGTCATTGGTACATAGGGTACATAGCTCTAATTTCAGCACTTAAGCTGCTAAGACCTTGAGTTCCAGGCTATCCTTGGCCTACATAGTAAGACTCTATTTCAAAAAAAAAAAGTTAGGAGCTGGAGAGATAGCTCAGCAGTTAAAAACACTGGCTCCTCTTCCAGAGGACCCAGGTTCTATTCCCTGCCCCCACATGGCAGCTCACAACTGTCTGTAACTATAATTCCAGGGAACTCATCACCAGTGTGTTTAGAGAGAGAGAGAGAAGAGTACATAATTATATAACAAGAGAAAATTAAATTATAGATAAGTTACTGTGTTAATGTCCAAGGACTTTTATAACAAATTAAAGCAAACTATGGCTTAACAGAAATTCCTTTACAGTCTAAAAACCAAAATCACAGTATTGACAGCTCCCTCCAAAGACTCTGGGGGACTCTTCCTTGGCTCTTTTATTTTCTGTTTCTGAGCACCCCTTAGCTTGTGGCTACACAACTACATTTCCTGCCTGTTCATCTGAACTTTCCCTTCTGTCCCTGCCTTTCTCTTTCTATACTTGCCATTTGATTTCTTTATATCATATGATCTCATGGTAAAAGACCTTCGTCTTGGTGCTGGAGAGACGATTCAGCAGCTAAAAAGTGTTTGCTGCTCTTCCAAAAGTGTGGTACCTAGCATATCAGTGTCTCACAACCAGCTCCAGGTTATCTAGTGTCCTCTTTTGGCCTCTGATGGTAACTGAACATAGGTGGCATACTTATACATACAGGCAGACATACTTATACATACATGTAAAAATAATATAAACTCTTTTAAAAATAAAGAATCTAGGGTGGAGGAAAGACTCAATTACTAATGCAAAAAGTTTGCCACATAAGATTGAATTTATCAATTACAGAATTTAAACATAAACAGGTCTTGGTGGCAGATGTGCACCATTCACCTCTATAAATACTTTTACTCATATTTTTTAAATTGTGTATTTAAAACCCCATTTCGATACAAATAAACTTCAGAAATCATATGGGAGGCATCTATATAGAAAACAATAATACTGTTCTTTTTTTTTTTTTTTTTTTTTTTTTTTTTTTGTTTTGGTTTTGGTTTTGGTTTTGGTTTGGTTTGGTTTTTTCAAGACAGGGTTTCTGTGTAATTTTGGAGCCTGTCCTGGAACTTGCTCTGTAGGCCAGACTGGCCTCAAACTCAGAGATCCACCTGCCTATGTCTCCCGAGTACTGGGATTAAAGGTATGCACCACCACTACCTGGCTATTGTTGAAAATTTTTAAAAGAAAATATTGGCACTGGAGAAATTGCTCAGATTAAGACTACCTGCCACTCTTCCAAAAGACCCAAGTTCAATTCCTAAGCACCCACATGACTATTCACTACCATCCAGATCTAGGCTATCCAACCCCTCTTCTGACCTCTGTAGGTATCAGGCCCAAATGTGACACCCAGGCATGCATGTAGGCAAAATACCCATAACATTAGTATTTTTTAATTTTTAAAAACAAAAGGACTGAAGCCGGGCGGTGGTGGCTCACACCTTTAATCCCAATAACTGGGATACAGAGGCAGACAGCTCTCTGAGTTCAAGGCCAGCCTGGTCTACAGGGCGATTTCCAGAATAGCCAGGGCTATATACAGAGAAACCCTGTCTTCAAAACAAAACAAAACAAAGGGCCTGGTTAGAGAGGTGGCTCAGTAGTTAAAAGAGAACTGGCTATTCTTCCAGAGGACCTGAATTTGAGTCAGACCATTTGCATGGTAGGTTATAACTGTTTGTAACTCCGCTCTCAAAAGATCTAATACCCTTGTCTGACCTCTACAGGCACCAGGCGGTACACATACATACATGCAGACAAAATACCCACACAAATAAATTAATTTTAATTAATAAGTGGATGAATAAATGAGTGAATGAATGAATAAAATGCTGATCAACTTAAAGTCAGATTGTTCAGTGAATAAAGGTGCTTGCCATGCAAGCCAAGTAATCTGAGTTTATCTCAAGACTACAGAAAAGTGGAAAGAGAGGATGGGAGAATTGGCATGGCTGTTAAGAGCAATATTATTTCTGCATTGGACCTATGTTTATTTCCTAACACCCATGTTGGATGGCTCACAAACAAGCACCTATAACTTCAGCTCCAAAGTATCCTATGCTGCCTTCTGAATTCCAAGGGGTACCTCATCTCATATGCACAAACCTACATAGACACATACACAAAATTTTTTTTAAATCATAAAAATGGGAAGCTGAAGAAATGTTTAGTGGTTAAGAGTGTGTTTTGCTCTTAGAGGACATGAGTTTAATTCCTAATACCCATGCCAGGCAGTATGCAACTGCCTGTAGCTCTTACTCCAGGCAATCTGACACCTCTGATGTCTGGTCACCTGTACATGTGTGTTGTGTTGAACACAATTCAAAATAAATAAATTACTACTTTTTTAAGCAATAAAAGTAGGAGAGATCTGACGCTACAGAGTTGTCCTCTAACCTCCATGCACATACTGTGGCATACACTCATGCATGCATACAATGATAAAAGATAAAATAATAGATCAGGTTTTTGGAATAAAAGAAAATATTTAAAGAAGTCGGTTCTCTGCAAACTTAGAAATTTGATGCACAATCCTATTACGAATGCTAAATGTGTGTACACATTCTTTTTATAATTATTTCCATCTTATTTTATGTGTATGTGTGTTTGGTCTATTCCTCATACCATGTCCATGCAGTGCCCAAAGAGGACATTGGCTCCCCCATGTATGTATGCATTCTTTTATGTATATGGCTTTATAAACCAATTCTGGCATTTGGAAAATAAAAAGCACAAAGAGGAGCTAAGTAGTAACTAATTTTAAAATATATATTAATACATGTTAATGGGCAGTTTATCTTGTCAGCTTTCTTCTCTTGTTTGTACATGTAGATGAGGACAGAACTGTATTTCCTGTCATCTCAGAAGAATCGTCCCAGTCTCTTTGGAATGCCACTGATTGTTCCATGTACTGTGCATACCCGTAAGAAAGATCTCTACGATGCAGTTTGGATTCAAGTGTCTAGATTGGCCAGCCCTCTCCCACCTCAAGAAGCTAGTAACCATGCACAAGATTGGTAGGTTCTGAGGATAAGCCAAGTCCTGTGATTTCTTAATACTAAGAATAACTTCTATGACTATGTTGTAATATAGAAGACCTTTTTTATATACAGCTAACCATCCTAATGTCTAATGAATTTTTGTTTTGTTTTGGGTTTTTTTTTTTTTTTTTTTTTTTTTTTTTTGATTGGTTGGTTGGTTGGTTGGTTGGTTAGTTGGTTGGTTTTGGGGTTTGTTTGTTTTTCAAGACAGGGTTTCTCTTTGTAGTTTTGGAGGCTCTCCTTGAACTAGCTCTTGTATCTCTGATCTACAGAGAAAGACCCTGTCTCAAACAAAAGGAATGAATGATCAACCAAAAGAAATGACTGATTGTTTGAACTCAGAGAGACTGAATAAAAACTGATCCCATTGTGTTAATCCCACTGAATGAGAGTAAAGACCACCAACCCAAATTTTTTTAGTCAAATTATGCAAGCTGTATTTTCTGTCAGACATGACTATCTCCCTAAAGTGTGGCTTGAGAAAATAGTCTTGAACACAGGAGAAGGTGGGTTTATATTAACTCCCAAACTGCAAGGGTAGGGAATTTTCAAGGATTAGGGATTTCCTGAGCAATTTTGGTTATATACTAGATCACCTAGCATGTACAACACCCTAGGTTTACTCCCTAGCACTGAAAAACTGTGTATCCAATTATAACAAGGAAGGATGGAGTTATTCTAGCTTGGTATCTGCTCCAACCCCCATTAGGGTGCTGCTTGGTTATTATCTGTCCCTTTCTTTGGATGCCTTGGTTGCCGTTCACTTGCTTAGAACATGTCAATGGACAATAAGGTCCATCGGTAATTATTTCTGTTATATAGTGAGATGAGGAGCTCCTATGCCAGACATATGGCTACTTCTGCCTTTGTAGTGAGGCTTTACATGGCTTAATTACCTTTAGCAGCCATGTGACAACCTTTCCCAGTTGCCAAATAAGCTGTTAAAGTATGTGTCCCTTGCATTGTTTCCCCACTTTCCCCCAAGCTTCATGAACTATAATTAACAAGAACTCGGGGGGGGGTTTATTTGTTGGAGCTTTAGGGGGTCTTGTGTTTCCTAACTACCTCTACCCCAGAGCTGTAGCTATAGCCCAGGAGTTATATATATTTAAAGTATACAACTTGATATTTTGATGGATACAACTGTTGTGTTGCTTCTTGTTTAGGAAAGGATTAGTAGATTTTGTTAAACTTTGGAGAACTCAAAGGGCATAATTGGGGGTTGGAGAGATGGCTTAGAGGTTAAGAATACTGGCTGCTTTTCCAGAGGTCCCCAGTTCAATTCCCAGCAACCACATGGTGGCCCACAACCATTTATATGGTGCACTCTTCTGGTGTGCAGGCATACAGGCAGGCAGAACACTGTATACATAGAAAATAAATCTTTTTTTTTAAAGGCACAATTGTTCTTAATTTTTTAAGTTAATTTTAAAGATAGTATATAGCTTTAAGAAGTTCAGGTGGAGAAAGGGTTACTACAACTGGGAATCTAAGCTGGGCGGTAGTAAGTTTAAGGATGGCTGGGCTACACAGAGAAAAATCTTGCATTGAAAAGCCAAAAAAAAAAAAAAAAAAAAAAAAAAAAAAAAGTAGACTATAAAGGACATCTAGGTAGATTGAAGATGTAACTCAGTTGGGAGAGGGCATACAAAAGACCCAGTATTCACACCACAGCATTACCTTAAACCAGGGGTAGTGGTACGCACCTGTAATCTCTAATCTCAGCATTGGAGAGGTATGGGCAGGAGGACCACAAGCAAGGTCATCCTCAGCCACATAGCGAGTGTAAGACCAGCCTGGGCTACATGTGACTCTGTTTTAAAAAAAAAAAAAATTTTTTTTTTAAGTAAAAAGAGGAAGACCTGTAGCAATCTAGTACTTGCTCCCTCCTGTGAGCAGATTCAGATGGTCCAGCCTAGCTTGCTTAAGGCTGTGTTTGATCGGTTGGGATGAGCAGCATGGATGGAACTGTTAGCATGGGCATGGTGCTGTGGAAAGTGTTCCTTCCCCAGGATAAATTTAAGAGTTCACAAGCCTCATGTGCTTCTTAGACTTTGTGTGTTTTCTTCTTCCAGTGATGACAGCATGGGCTATCAGTATCCATTCACCCTACGAGTTGTGCAGAAAGATGGAAATTCCTGTGCATGGTGCCCGTGGTATAGGTAAACTCACCTTCTATAAAACCAGTCTCCGTAGACTCAGTTTCAGACATAATACTTTTTTTTAAGATATCTCCATTCAGAATGTAATCGTGAAAAATGTGAAGCTTGAGTACAAATTTGCTTTCTAAACATGTAATTTTACAGATTACACTCCACCCCAAATTCATAACCAGCGATAAACATTTTTATTCTAAACTTTATTTTTTTAATCCTTTTTTAAATTTTGTATTTAATGTGCATTCATATGAGGGTGTCAGATCCCCTGGAACTAGAGTCATCGACAATTGTGAGCTGCCATGTGGATGCTGGGAATTGAACCTGAGTCTTATAGGTGAGAAGCCAGTGTTCTCAACTACTGAGCCATCTCTCCAGCCATTCTTTGGTCCTTTTTAAATAGAGTCTTACTGTGTTGCCCAGGCTGATGTCAAACTCCAGGGCTCAAGTGACCCTCTTCCGCCTTCTGAGTACTGTGACTATAGTCATGCACACATGGCTCTTATTAGTACAGACATTCTTTCTGAGGTAGTAGAACATAATCTGCTTACTAACCTTGCTGGTTAGTTCCCTGAAGTTTTACAAGAATTTGATGGGTCATTGTTGTTACAGCAGGGACAGTATCTGAAGTCAGCTTTCATGAAATTGTAATAGATATAATAACAAACAAGGTCTAATAGGTATTAGAGCCCCTTGTACCTGCCTCCATAAATTTGTATGCATATTTACTTAAGGTGTTCTTTTACAAAAAGATAAACTTACCCACGACATTGTAGAAATGAATTTATAATTTCAAGTCAGTTTATAGCAGATTGTTTCTATATCACTTTATTTGCCATGAAATTTGTATCTTTCCAAATGTTAACAGCTATTAAGTGATTTTTAGAATCAAAGACTTGAAGTTGTAAACATGATTCCTGAAATTATTATTAACTTTTATTACTGCATTTATAAAGTTCTAAAGTTAGAATTTGACAAATTATGAAGCTGGAAGAAATATTAAAGAGTATTTTGTGTGTGTGTGTATTTTATAAAGGTAAAATATATACATATCATATATGATTAAAGAGTATTTCTAATTGAGAACATTTTAATTCTTTATTGTTTATTCCTCTCTAAATGCTTTTTCCTCTTAGATTTTGCAGAGGCTGTAAAATTGATTGTGGAGAAGACAGAGCTTTCATTGGAAATGCCTATATTGCTGTGGATTGGGACCCTACAGCCCTTCACCTCCGCTATCAAACATCACAGGAAAGAGTGAGTTTAACTGTATCATAGCAATTAAACCAAAGTCCAAAAAACAACTAGTGGCACTCTCTTTGAACTTGATATGTTGATATGTTTGCTTGACTTTTTTTCCCCCAACTTCTACAATCAGTTGTTATTAGGGTCAATTAATACATATAACATAAAAATAAACAATGTTTTTATTATTAAGATTTTAAAAGGAAGTTATTGGGGCTAGAGAGATGACTCTGCAGTTAAGAGTATTTATGGCTTTCACAGAGAACCTGAGATGGGTTCCCAACACCCACATCAAGTGGTTCACACATTTGACACTTGTGGCTTAACTAGAATAATGTTGTCCAAGTTAAAAATGAACTATAGACAAACAGAAGACTGATATGTATATATTGTATATATTTAATTATATAATTAATATATACATATATATTAATTACAGCATTTGTCCAAAACAGTAGTTCAGTTATAAGAGCAAAAGTTCAATCATTGAATAATTCAAAATCCTTTACATAAGTGAAAATAATTATCTGAGAAGTCAAGATCATATATAATCATACCACTCACAAACACTGGTATTAAGTCTCTTTCCCATTGAATTTCAAAGCAAAGTGATGAACCTTTCTTCCTAAAGCCAATAACTGATGTGATTACTCAGAATACCTTAGAAATGCTATTCCTTAATTTAATATAGACTCTGATAGTACACATTGTTCTTTCCAAACTACTTCCTGCTGGTAAGGGGCGCTGTCATGGGGGATTCGAAGAAGATTCAGAAATCCTGGCTGTAGTCTGTAAGGCTGCTTTGTCCAGCTGTTTTGAATGTAGGATCACCTTGTACTCTGTTTCAGGCGGTCTGGCGTGATCAAACCACATTAGTCTTGAAGGAATCCACATCTTTTCATTTTCTGTGGAAACAAAAATAGAAATCCTTTTCCCCAGTAACTTGTCCTTCAACTCTGGCCAATAGCTGGCGGAAGAGCTACAAGTAACAGTTTTAAAATGTACTGACCTGCTGCCAATTATACACACTAACCAAAATATACTTAGTCATGTCTATAAAGCAGGTGAACCTTTCCAAGTAGATTTCCCTCACACTTGAACTGGATAGAGCTGTTAATAAAGCACAAAAAAAAATTAGCAGTAAGATTTTCTTCTACATAAACATAAAGGGATTTTCTTCCCCTAAATCTACTTAAACATCAAAACCTATTCTTATAATAAAAATGTAACCCTTTCAGCAGCCTGAGTATGGGTATTTATGTTGTTCAACACCAAGTGATTTTTGTTTCTTTGATTAGTTGGTTGGCTGGGGTTTTTTGTTTTGTTTTTCAAGACAGGGTTTCTTTGTGTAGCTTTTGAGCTTGGCCTGGAAACTTCTTTGTAAACCAGGCTGGCCTCAAACTCAGAGATCTACTTCTGCCTCCTCGGTGCTGGGATTAAAGGTGTGAGCCACCACTGCCCAGTTTGGTTGGCTGGTTTGTTTGTTTGTTTTTTGAGACAGGATTTCTCTGTGTAACCCTGGGTGTCCTGAAATTCACTCTGTAGACTAGGCTAGCCTTGGACTCAGAGATCTGCCTGTCTCTGCTTCACAAGTGCTGGGATTAAAGACATGCACCACCACATCTGGCAAACAGCTATAGGTTTGAAGCCTATACCTCAGACCCCTGAGGATCATCCAGGTCTTTTTCTTTTTTTTTTTTTAATATAATGTTTGTTCTTATTTTATGAGCGTTGATTGGTGTTTTCTGCATGCATGCTTGTGTGAGAGTGTCAGATCCTCTGGAACTGGTGTTACAGTTGTTAGCTGCCTTGTGGTTACTGGAAAGTGAACCCAGGTCTTCTCAGAGAGCAACCAGTGCTCGTAAGCACTGAGCCATCTCTCCAGCCCCATCATCCAGGTTTTTTCACACCCAATAATAGAGGCTAAGGATGTAACTCAGTTTGTAGAATGCTTGCATGGTATGTTTGAAGCCCTAGCTTTGATCTCTAGTACTATATAAACCAGACATGATGGCAGGTACCTATAATCCCAGCAGTGTGGAAGCTAAGGCAAAAAATCATGGTGTTTCCTAGTAAGGAAAGGTGCTGAGGCAGGTAGATCTCTGTGAGTTCAAAGCCATCCTGGTCTACAGAGCTAGTTCCAGGACAGCCAGGGCTACACAAAGAAACCATGTCTTGAAAAACCAAAGAGGAGGTGGGTGGTAAAAGATAATCTGTCAGTGGTCAGTGTCTTGTCTTTTTTCTGTTCTGCCTTTTTCTTTCTCCCTTCCTCCCTCCCTCCCTTCCTTTCTTCCTTTCTTTCTTTTTTAAACAGCTATCTCTGAATTCAAGACCAGCTTGATCTACATAGAAAGTTCCAGATCAACTAGAAGTGCACAATGAGATTCTGTCTCAAAAAATATTAAAAATTTTAATTAATATTTATATTATACATATGGGGCTGTAGAGATGATTCAGTGGTTAAGAACAAACACATACTGCTATTTCAGGTGGCTCACAATCATCTGTTATTGTGAGGTGGTTGTGAATCACCTAACTCCAACTCCAGGAGATTCAACACACTCTCTAGACTCCACAGGCAACTGTACTCAGATATGCACATTCCCCCACACAGGCACACTCATACACATAATTAAAAATAAAAACAAAAGTATATAAAAGATTTCAGCTGGGTATGTGAGGACATGTCTTTAAACCCAGGCACTCAGGGGGCTGAGGCAGGTAGATCTTTGTGAGTTCAAGGCCAGTCTGATCTACAAAGAGAGTTCCAGAATAGCCAGGGTTGTTACACAGAGAAACCCTGACTCAAAAAAATCTATCTTTTTTTTATAATTTGAAAGAAGGTGTTTATAAATAATACATCGTTTGAATAGTAGTAGTAGAGGATCTAACCATGGATCCCACAAGGTAAAAGGAATCCTTATCATTAAGGGAAATTATATTGATAAATATAATTATTGTCAGTCCACAAAAAATGTTTTTTACAGTCTTTCAGTCCCCATCTAGCTTTATAGCCCATAGTAGTCAAAACAAAACAAAAAACCCCACAGGATTCTTTACTAGCATATCATAGCATGCCATAAAGCATCTCTGATTAAGTAAATAGACATAAAATTTCACTAGTTATGCAGAGAGAGACATCACTGTGTTTTACACAGTTCTGTTTCTGCAAAGCTGACGGCCCTGATATAGGGTGGCTGTGCATGTGTAACTTCATGTTGGGGTCTAAGGGTCAACTTCAGGTCTGATTCCTCAGTAGTTGTCTACCTTGATTGTATTTTGTCTGTTTGCTTTGAAACAGGGTCTCATTTATTGATCTGAAATTCACCAATAGTTGGCTATTGATCCCCAAGGATCTGTCCTTTTGCCTTCCCAGCCCTTGAGCTTATGAGCACATGTCACCACACTCAGGTTTTTGTTTTCATTTGTTTAGGAATTGAACTCAAGTTCTCATGTGAACATATGGCCAGCACTTTACTAACTGAGCCAACTCACCAACCTGATACATGTTTTGTTGAGACCTGATCTATCTATATAAGTCCAGGTTGGTCTTAACTGTCCTCCTGAGTGCTAAGACTAGGTGTGTACATCTAGCTACCATGTTTGTTTCCTCAGCATATCCACTTAAGGTGACCAGTTCAAAGGATACTGAAAGAACTGGCCACAGTAGCACACACTCATAATACCAGCATTCAGGAAGTTAAAACAGGAAAATCAGGAGTGTGAAGCCACCTGGCTTCCAAGGGTGGTCAGTGCCCACCTGAACCACATAGCAAGTCCCTGTCACAAAGAAACAGACAGAGTGCTTTATTTATTTATTTTTTAATTTATGTTTTTTATTTTATGTTCATTGGTGTTTTGCTTCCATGTATGTCTGTGAGGGTGTCAGAGGCCTTAAACAAGAGTTACAGACAATTGTGAACTGCCATGTGGGTACTGGGAATTGAACCTGGGTCCTCTGGAAGAGCAGACAATGCTCTCAACCTCGGAGCCATCTCCATAGCCCCATTAGTGCTTTACTACTACCAATCTTTTTTTTTTTTTTTTTTTTCAGAGTACGTGACCCAAACACAATTCCCTTTTAGCCTGATGGTGTCATTGTTGGACATGCCTTTAATCCCAGTTCAGGAGGCAGAGACAGTTCAGGAGGCATATCTCTGAGTTCAAGGCCAGCCTCGTCTACAGAGTGAGTTCTAAGGTAGCCAGGGCTGTTACACACAGAAACTTTTGTCTAGTTAAACCAAAACAAACAAAAAAATCCAAAAACCAAAAAACTTCATTGCCTAATGACCTCCAACCTTGAGTTTATTGGTATATTTGATAGCCTGTGACTTTGATAGCTACCTCCTTTGTAGGGAAAAGGTCTCGATTAAAAAACTGCACTAAATGAAATGGGATAAAATGTGCCAATTCATAATCCAAACAGTCCAGTGTTCCCAAGAGTAAAGCTAACAGATAGGAAATTGCCTCGAGTGACAATAAACAGCTCACCTGTGGAGGAGGCTAGTAAGTGGGGCAATGAACACAGGGATATTTGACAGGAAGAAGCAGTAATTGTTGGACTTGTAGTTCAAACTCTGCTTGGGAAGAAAAATATCAGTATACATATGTGAAGTCTCAGATAACCTTCATATCACTGATGACATGCCTTTCCTACCTTCTCATACATAGTAGAGGCAAACAAGTCTCACCTCCATGGCTGTTGTTTGTTGGGTTTTAGGCATGATATAAGATTGGGAGAGAAAATCTTTCACTATTTCTTTCTTGGACCTTCCTTTTCTCATTCCTCTCTGTCCTACTACACCCCTCCCCACTCCCTTTATGTTCTCTGTGCTTGGTTTTTTTCTTTATGATGCTAGAGATTGAAGCCAAAGCCTCAAAACACCCTAGGCAAACACTACTACTGATTTACACTCCCAGCCTTTGCTCCCTCCATTCTCATACTTAACTCCTTCTTGTCCCAAAGCTTATTATACTGGTTACCTGGGCTCCAAAGTTTTGGCCAAAAATTAGAGATTGTGTCAACAGATATATGCTCTTTTAAAGCTTGCTCTTCATTTTCTTGCCTTCACAGATAATATTTCCATTGAGCTGAGGCAACTCAGTGGTGGAGTACCTGCCTGACCTGCATGAGGGATTTAATTCACTTTACCCTCCTATACCCTCCAAAACACAGAGTCATGAAACATATGATGACACCTAGTACTCTGATAAGTCTGTTACATATGCTGATATGCAAATTAGTTGCAAATCAGGATTTAATGCCTACTATATTGTGTTCTTCTTTGGATGGTGAGTGTTTCGAAACAGGGTTTCTCTGTAGCCTTGCTGGCCTGGAACTCAGACCAGGCTGGCCTGGAACTCTCAAAGATCGGCCTGCCGCTGCCCCCCAAATTCTGGGATTAAAGGTGTGTGCCACCAACATACACACACACACACACACACACACACACACACACACACACATATACACACAGCTATATTGTTTTCTTATGATGAGCTTTTCTGGATCTTTTCTTATTTCATCCAAATATTTACATATTATTTCTCCTAAGTCTGTCATATATGCAATAGCCTAATATCCTAATGCTGTCTTTCTTCCTAAAGTAGAAATTACTTACTTTTACTACTCTTTTCTTGAAGACTAGGTCACATTTAAACTGTCTCAAAATTGTGAAATAGACAAGCAGTTTAGCTGTTGTTGTTTTGTCATTTTGAACAAATTCAGAAAGCTATGGTCAGGGACTGGGGATGTAGCTCTGATGATAAGAGTACTTACTTAACTAGCATGCTTACAGCCTTGGGTTCTGTCTCCAGCACAGCATAAAATCAGATGTGGTGCCACACATCTGTTTTCCACAGGTCTATGCAGCGAGTACCCTCACCTACTTATCCCAGAAAAAGAACCATTATACACAAGTTCAAAGGTATGGGTGACGGTTATTTACAGAAACAGGTTTTGAATTATACAGCTATACCAGGGAAGAAAATGAATAAGGACCCTGGTTCAATTCCCTAGAACCCACATGGTGGCTCCAGAAGTTCTGCCCTCTTCTGACTTCTGGAGTTTGCTGCACAATCTGCAGGCAGCTAGGTAGGCCCAAGAACTCTCAGCACTTTGCTGGCCAGAATCTTCTCAGACAGTTGCTTGTTGTACACTGCTTTGGGGATTGAAGATCTTGCCAGTTTCAGCTTTATGGTTTTTATTTGTTTTGTTGGTTTTGTGTTTGTTTGTTTGTTTGTTTGTTTGTTTTTCGAGACAGGGTTTCTCTGTGAAACAGTCTTGACTGCCCTGGAACTCTCTCTGTAGACCAGACTGGCCTCAAACTCACAGAGATCCGCCTGTTTCTGCCTCCTGAGTGCTGTGATTAAAGTCATACACCACTGTCCAGCTGATTTCAACTTTATGTGATGTTTGTTTACCTCCTGAATCTCATGAGCCTCCTGCCCACCTCCTGAAGGGAATATGTGTGAGGATGTTTTGACTGCATATGTATCTGTGTGCACCTGTACAGTGCCTGCAGTGAGCAGAAAAGGGCATGAGATCCCCTGGACCTGGAATTACAGATAGTTGTTATGCCTCACATGGATACTGGATATTGATCCCACTTTTTCTCAAAGAGCAGCCAATGCTCTTAATGGCTGAGCTATCTCTTCAACTCCTTGGAGAGAATGTTTCAGTTCTGAGAAGGTTTCTATTCGGTTAAACAGAAGGATCAGAAGTTCAAGGTCATCCTCAGTTTCATAGTGGATTCAAGGCCAGCCTGAGCTACATGAAACAAATCAGGTTGTGTAAATAATGTTTAGTCCAGGATGTCATTGATATGATGTTTATGAATACATAACATGTGTTGTGTTGCGTTGCTCAGAGACTCTTTGGGTTGTATTTCTCCACACATGTGGACTATGTAAAAGCAAGTTAGTGACTGTGAAGATGCTACATATCTAGTGTTTATTTTAAATGCCCTCTGCACAATTCCAGTTTATTCTGTTTCTTCCTCTTGTAGGTTGTAGAGGAGCACGATAGCGTGGAGCAGAGTCGGCGAGCACAGGCTGAGCCCATCAACCTAGACAGCTGTCTCCGTGCCTTCACCAGTGAGGAGGAGCTGGGGGAAAATGAGATGTACTACTGCTCTAAGTGTAAAACTCACTGTTTGGCAACTAAGAAGTTGGACCTCTGGAGGCTTCCTCCAATTCTGGTATGTTAATAGCCTTGCATCTATGAGAATAGTCTAGTGTAAATGAGAAAAATCATTAACAGGATTTTAGGGCTATTTTTGAGGATAAGATTCTTTCTGTAGCTATGTTTAAAACCTTTTTATACCTGGATATAATGGCATACACCTGTGATCCCAGAATTTAGGAGGCTGAGACAGGACTTAAGGCAAACTTAGGCAACATAGTAAGTTCCATGCCAACCTACACTACAAAGTAAGACCTTGATTCAAAAAGGAAAGGGAAGGAAAGGAAGGAAGGAAGGAAAAAGGATGAGGATAAGGGAGAGGAGAGAAGAGATTGCTCAGTGGACCTGATTTTGGTTCCCAGCCCCAGGGAGATCTAACACCTCCAGCCTCCTCAGACACCTGCACTCTTGCACAAATATATGCACGGAGACACACGAATGCATGCTTGTAATTAAAAACAACAATCATTTCTTTAAAAAAAGAAAAATAATGCATGAATTTTTGGTTTCTTTTGTTTGTTTGTTTGTTTTTTGTTTTTTTTTTCAAGACAGGGTTTCTCTGTGTAGCTTTGGAGCCTACCCTGGAACCCACTTTGTAGTCCAGGCTGGCTTCAAATTCACAGAGATTCACCTGCCTCTGCCTCCCAAGTGCTGGGATTTAGGTGTGTGCCGCCACCGCCCAGCTATGCATGAACTTTTCTATGCAAGATTTTTATGTTGAACAAAGAAATTTTGTTTTAAAAAATATATGCTAGATCCTGTAACTGAGTCTACAGCCTTGAAGGAGAAAAAATGATGAAGGATAGTAACTGCAGTCCAGTGTAACATAAGAAATACTATCAATGGATTGTAACTATCAGTGGAATTTGAATTCCAAAAGAGAATAAAAGCCCTTTTAGTCCCACAAAAGAGGAAGTTTTAGCTAGCCCATACTTGGGCTCCAGTGCAGTCGAGTGACTGTGCACACTGCTGTGCATGCAAGTGTAACAGGACACAGAGCTGTGCTTTCTCAGATTTGGTTGACTTTTCTGCCCATCAGCAGAATTTATAAAGACAGATTAGTTACAAAGCCATCTTCTATCCAGACACAGAGACCCACGTCTGTTATGACAGGACTTGGGAGGCTGAGATAGGAGGCTTACCATTTGTTCTAGGCTAGCCTGAGCTACAGAGGCAGATACCTTGCCTCAAAAATAACTAAATAAATAAAAAGTAAGAGATGTGGAGATGTAGAGTAAAAGTACTTAAAACACAGCCTGAGAATCTTAAGTTCAGACTCCCAGAAGCTTCATAAAAGCCAGACATAGTGAGTAAGTCATCTATCAGAAGATGGGAGAATCACTGGAAACTTGTGTACCAGCTAACCTGGTGTGCTCAGCAGTGAAAACAGGAGAAAGAGATTGTCATCTGACCTCCCCCTTTGTGCATTTACAAGTCCTACAGACATCCTACAGAGGAAAGGAGAGAGGGAAAGGTGCACTTTTCTTCACTCAGCAGTACTTGTGTGTGTGTTACTTGCATATGCCTGTCTTCAGCGACTCTAGCCATGCTACACAGTGCTAAGCTTTCATGCCTTCAAAACCAGTACCACCCAGGTGACCCTTACACTACCGAGTTTGGATGGCAGCCTGAGATGTAGCCACAGTCCCCTCTGGAGCACATCTTATGTGGGCTCACTCTGAAGAAATGCTCTCAGATTTACAGTTCTCAATGATACTGGTCTCTTTAAATACAGCTAATATCTCAGTTGCTTATAACCAGCTTTAAGTGTCACAGCAAAAAAGATTTTATTTCAGTAGTCTATAGTTCAGAATATCCCCCATCACCTGCACTGACTCAAGGCATTATCTTCTGAGTTCCCATAACAGCTCATGAAACTCTGAGTTTCATGAGTGAACCTTCTAGCCCAAGGTTCCAAAATCTTCCACAATCCTCTTCTAAACACATGGCAATACTCCATTCCTGGTACCAGTTTACATCTTAGGCTTTCTATTCTGTGAGGAAACCAGAAGCACCTTGGGATGGAAAGGGTTTATTTTGCATTCACTTCCATATCACAGTTCATCCAGGGAAGTCGGTAGGAACCTAAAAGCAGGTACTCTGAGGCTGTGGAGAATTACTGCTTACTGGCTTGCCTATAGCTAGATTTTCTGGCAATTTTTAAAAAGATTGATTAGTTGATTATGTATAGTGTTCTGTCAGCATGTATCCCTGCACACCAGAAGAGGATGTTCTCATTAAAGATGGTTGTTGGTTATTGAGAATTGAACTCAGGATCTCTGGAAGACCAATTAGTGTTCTTAACCTCTGAGCCATTTCTCCAGCTCCCTGGCAGTTTTTTCAATTGAGAATTTGTCTTCCCAAATGACTCTTAAGCTTATGTCAAACTTTCATAAAATTAGCTAGCCACACACATTCCAGTGTGGAGATCAGAAGGAAACTTAGTGAAGTTGGGTTTCTTTTCACCTTTATTTGAATTCAAACTCAGATAATAAGGCCTTATAATAAGTCTTTCTTTCTTTCTTTTTTTTTTTTTGTTTGTTTTGTTTGTTTTTTTTTTGTTTGTTTGTTTGTTTTTCAAGACAGAGTTTCTCTGTGTAACAGCTCTGTCCTAGAACTAGTTCTGTAGACTAGACTGGCCTCAAATTCCCAAGAGCTGGGTTAAAGGCGTGTGCCATCACTGCCTGGCATAACATGTTCTTTTACCCACCAGCATGCCTCTTTGTTTTTTGAAACATGGTCTCTCACCAAATGTGGAGCTCATCTTTTTGGCTAGGTTGACTGGCCAATGACCCCAGGGATCTGCTCTCCATCCTATCACCTGCCCTAACTCCACACCATGTCCACCTTTTTACATGGGTGCTGGAGATCTGAACTTAGGCCCTCATGCTTGTGTAGCACACATTTTAGTGACTAAGCCATCTCCATGATTTAGTGCTGGGCTTTTTTTTCCTTTTGAGACAGAGTCTTACTATGTAGCCCTGGCTAGCCTGAAACTTACTATATAGGCCAGACTGGCCTCAAATTCAGAGAGACCCATCTTCTCTGCCTCCCTGGTGTTGGGATTAAAGGTGTATACTACCACACCTGGCTCCATTACTAGGATATTTTTTTAATTTTATATGTGTGTCTGTGCACCTCATGCATCATGTGCATACAGTGCCTCCAGAGGCCAGAAGAGGGTATTGGATCCCCTAAAAATGCAAACAGAAAAAACCTTACATTTGAGATAGTTAACAATTTGTAAATGTTACATGTTCTTCAGAACCCTTGAATGCAATTGTTCCTACCTTTTCTTCTTCAGATTATTCACCTTAAACGATTTCAGTTTGTAAATGGACGGTGGATAAAATCACAGAAAATTGTTAAATTTCCGCGTGAAAATTTTGACCCTAGTGCTTTTTTAGTACCAAGAGACCCAACGCTTTGCCAGCATAAACCACTCACACCCCAGGGAGACGACGTCTCTGAGCTAAGGATTTCAGGAGGAGATGTAAAGAAAATGGATGTCCAGAATGCAGCAGGAGAGGAGGATGTGCTCCTGAGCAAGAGCCCATCTTCACTCAGTGCCAATATCATCAGTAGCCCAAAAGGTAAGGGGAGGAGCCCTCCCTCCCTCCCTCCCTCTCTTCCCTCCCTCCCTTCCTTCCTTCCTTCCTTTCTCCCTTCCTTCCTTCCAAGTTTTTGAGTCATGGTCTTGCTTTGTAACTCCAGCTACCTTCTGTTCTGGACCAGTAATTTGTATTTCAGCTTTGTGACTTTAAGCACAAGATAATATTCTCCTTTGTCATTTGTAAAATGGAGAAAATATCAAGTAAGGGCAAGAGGATTTGAAATACCAACAGTAATAATGTATAATTACTGGTTGCATCTGTCTACAGACATAAAGCAGAGAAACATCAATGCTGGTGTTTAGCCAATTCCTTTTTCCATTTTTGTTGTAAATTTAGGACCCCAGACCACAAGATGATAGAATCCACATTCATGGTGTGTCTTTCCTTCCTAATTAGACCTTCTTGGAAACACCCTCAGGCACACTCAGGTGTGTATCCTAAGTGATTCTAAACCCACTCAAATCCAAGCTGATAGGGTAACCATCAGAGATACCAAAAGCTATGGGCGTTCAAGTCCTGTACATAAAAAGGTGTGATATCTGCATATAACCTGTTTATATCTTTTCTGTACATTTTAAACCATATCTGTTTGTTCTATAAAACTCCATATAACCCAGAGGTGTGAGATAACATACCTATAATCCCAGTTCTTAGAAAACTAAGGCAGGGGAAGTCTAAGTTCTTTTTTTGTTTTTTTATTTTATTTTATGTACATTGGTATAAGGATATCAGATTCCCTGGAACTGAGTTACAGGCAGTTGTGAGCTGCAATGTGGGCACTGGAAATGAACCCGGATCCTCTATTAGAACAGCCAGTGCTCTTAACCACTGAGCCATCTCTCCAGCCCCAGAATTCTAAGTTTTAAGCCATCTTAGGTTACATACATTCTATTTTCAAAACTACAAATAAGAACCAGAAAAATTGCTCAATAAATAAAGATGCCTAAATTTAGCCCCTATACTCACATGATAGGAGAAAGCTGACCTACAAGTTGTCCTCTGACTATACATAAACACCATGGCAAATGTGTGTTTGTGTGTGTGTACATGTGTATGTATGTATGTATGTATGTATATGTACATACATATATATGTATATGTACACACATACATACATGTATGTATATGAATAAGTAAATAGCTATTACACTGTGTTATACCAATATCTATTACTGTATTTATGAAATCATGGAAAAGAAATCAGTAAAAATGCAATTTTTATTAGTAAGTCTGATCCGTAATTATTAGGATTTTGTGGGACCCACAGATGAAGAACACTAAGTATATATGATTCTTTTTACCAATTTCCCACCAACTACAGCTTCAGCCCTGGGTGTGAGTTTTACTTTCATTCTCTGAAAAATATACTGTGGAGTCAGGGAAATTTTCATGTAGCTAGATTAACCTTTTTTCAGTGAAATAGATGGTTGAGTATTGTATAGTTTTTAATTACTCAGAGTTTTTATGGGGTTTTTCCCCCTTTATTTTGCTAGGTATGGAACCCAGGATTTCACACATGCTAGACAGAGAGAGCTTTTTCACTTTATTACATTTCTACCCCTCTTTTTTATTTTGAGGTAGCATCTCACAAAGTTTTCTGTACTGAATTTGAGCTTACTGTTGCCCAGACTGGCCTTAAGCTTTCAATCCTCCCTGTGCCTCTTGAACAGCTAGAGGTATAGGTATGTGTTACCAAGCCTAGCCCTCAGTCTTCATTTCTAACATGAGACATACATACAGGAAAAATGCATCTAAACACAGGTTCTAGGAGTCCTTGGTAATTTGTTTGTTTTTCTTTGGTTTTTGGTTTTTCAAGACAGGGTTTCTCTGTTTAACAGCTGTATCTGTCCTGGAACTAACTCTGTAAACCAGGCTGACCTTGAACTCACAGAGATACACCTGCCTCTGCTTCCCAAGTGCTGGAATCAAAGGTGTGCACCACCACCACTACCCATCTTGTTTTTGGTTTTGAAACAGGATCTTGCTATGGTGGTACCTGGAACTCACTGTATAGCCCAGGCTGACCTTAAACTTAGAATCCTTCTGCTTTAATTTCCTGAGTAACAAGAGCACGCCCAGCCTAAGAATGTATTTATAAAATTCATTGTTATGTACTCTACATTTTTACTTTTGCCTATTTTATTAGTTGTGTATTAGGGTCCTCTAGAGGAACAAAACTGATAGAATGAATACACACACACACACACACACACACACATATATGTATGTATATATATATACACACACACACACACACATATATATATATATATATATATATATATATATATATAATTAGAATGGGGTACAGACTGTAGTCCAGCTAGTCCAATAATGACTGTCTACCAGTGAAATGTCTCAAGAATCCATAGTTGTCCAGCCCACAAATGTGGATGTGTCAGCTGGTCTTCAGTATACACCAGAATCCCAAAAGAAGCAATGGACTTGGATCAAGATCGAGAATGAAAGTAGCAGACAAAGAATGAAAGCTTTCTTCTTCCATGTGCTTTATATAGGCTGCCACCAGGAGGTGTGGTCCAGATTAGGTGGATTTTACTGCCTCAAAAGATCTGGATTTGGGTTATGGTGGTGGTGGTGCATACCTTTTTATTTTCACTAAAATAAGGAATGCTTCACGAATTTGCATGTCATCCTTGCACAGGGACCATGCTAATCTTCTCTGTATCATTCTGATTTTAGTATATATGCTGCTGAAGGAAGCATGGTGGCACATGGCTTTAATTCTAGCACTCTAAAGCAGAGGCAGGCAGATCTCTTGAGTTTGAGGCCATCCTGGGTCTACAAATCAAGTTCCAGGAGAGCCAAGGCTGTTACACAGAGAAACCTTGTCTTAAAAACCTGGATGGATGGATGGATGGATAAGTGCTCTGAAAATCTGGATTAAATATTTATCTTCCCACCTCTCAAAAGATGCAAATTAGAAGTGGGTCTTTCCACTTCAAATAAATTAATTAAGAAAAAATCCTTCACAGGTGTACCCAGCCACTTGGGTTTTAGTTAATTTCAGATGTAGTCAAGTTAACAGTCAAGAATAGCAATAGCCATCACGAGCTGTGTAATAAGGAGTGGCAGTAGGCAGTCAGCATTCCTATCTTTATGTATACATTTGGGAAGCTAGCTTCAGAGTTACCATTTGGTATCAAACTTAACTTGTGGCATTTGACTTAAAAACCTTTCCCTGTCTCTTTTACAGGTTCACCTTCTACATCAAGAAAAAATGGAGCCAGCTGCCCCTCCAGCAAAAACAGCAGCCCGAACAGCAGCCCAAGGACTTTGGGCAGGAGCAAAGGGAGGCTCCGGCTGCCTCAAATTGGCAGCAAAAATAAATTGTCCAGTAGTAAAGAGAATTTGGATGCCAGCAAAGAGAATGGAACTGGGCAGACATGTGAACTGACTGACACCTTGAGCCGAGGACATGTGTTAGGAGGCAGCCAGCCTGAGCTGGCCACTCCTCTGGATCATGACAGCACTTTGGCGAATGGATTCCTTTATGAGAATGAGGCATGTGGCAATGGCTATAGTAATGGTCAACTTGGAAACCATAGTGAAGAAGACAGCATGGATGACCAAAGAGAAGATACTCATAGTAAACCTATTTATAATCTATATGCAATTTCGGTAAGTGACAATTATGTAGATTTCAAAAAATAGTCTTTGGGGGCTCAACTGTTAAGAGCACTAGCTGATCTTCCAGAGGTCCTGAGTTCAATTCCCAGTAACCACGATGAGATCTGGTGCCCTCTTCTGGCAAGCAGTCATACGTGCAGGCAGAACACTGTATATAAAATAAATAAGTCTTTAAAAAACAAATAGTCTAAGTTGAGTATGGTGTTGCATGCTTTTAATCCATCACTTGGGAGGCAGAGGCAGGTGGATTTCTGAGTTTTAGGCCATCATGGTCTACAGAGCTAATTCCTGGACACAGCTGGGCCTACCAGAGAAATACTGTCTCAGAAGTTTGTTCACTTGTCTTCATTCATTCATTCATTGACTGGAAGTTTTTCAGAATTTGCTTACTTGTTGGGCATTAAGTTTGGTGATAGACAAAGTTAAAAAAAGAAAGCTTGGCCTCCAGGATAGACGCCAAGCTCTCAGTGTAATTTAAACAATGACCATGTAATTAGTGTAATTTGATTCAGAGTATTAACTGTTCATGCTCTCCCATTTATAAATTTTTTCCCCACTAAGGAAATTTTGCTTTCTAAATAATTGTTACAGGGCCAGACTTGGTGGTACATGCCTCTAATCTTAGCACTTGAGACCTGAAGCAAAAGGATCTCTAGTTCTCTAGTTTGAAGCCAACCTAGGATATATAGCAAGACACTTTTTTTGTTTGTTTGTTTTTGTTTTTTTGAGACAGGGTTTCTGTGTATTGTTTTGGAGCCTGTCCTGAAACTTGCTCTGTAGACCAGGCTGGCCTCAAACTCACAGAGATCTGCCTGCCTCTGCCTCCCGAGTGCTGGGATTAAAGGTGTGTGCCACCACTGCCCAACTGACATTATTTTTAAGCACACACATATATGTGAACTAAGTGTATGTGTATTAAAATTTTGTTTTTTGAAAACATGAGGTGATTTCATACATTTTTTTCCTTACTACCTAAGTGGTCAGTCTTCTCTTGGTCAGATCTTAGCTGTGCCCTGGCTAAGTACTGTTGAATACTAACACACCACCACTCTCTTCTCTCTCTCTAGTGCCATTCAGGAATTCTGGGTGGGGGCCATTATGTCACTTATGCCAAAAACCCAAACTGCAAGTGGTACTGTTACAATGACAGCAGCTGTAAGGTAAATATTCTCAATCTTTAAATGAAAATTGAAAACAGAATGCCAACAAATTTGGGGAACATAATGAAATAGCATTCTGCTGAACAGTAAATAATGTGTTTGTGTGAAGTCTCCACATAAATGCACTTGAGTGTTAAAGAAGCAGAGGTGCTGGGAAAGCTAGGAATGAAGTGAAGACAGGAATAGTAAACAAAGAGAAGATGCCAGTTAATGTTAACGAGAACTCAATCTTTTGGGTTTGAGTAGATCGTGTCCTGTCCTTTTCATGCCCCAGCCACATGGAACATCAAACCCAGCGTGGCACACATGTTAAGAAAGACTTTACCAAAGACCTGAACTCTCCAATGCAGATATTTTTTTAACTATTGGAATTTGATGGAGTTCCTTGGATATGGTGGCCACACATTTGATGGAGGTGGAGGCAGGAGTAGGAGTTGAAGGTCATGCTCCTCTACTGAAATGTGTTTAAGGCGTCTGGGCTACAGTATGAGACTGTGTCCCAAAAGAAAGCTCTCCCTTACCCACCTAATAATAATAATAATAATAATAAATCTGATAAGGGTTAGGGCATTCATTTGCCTATGGTTAGACTATTTCCCCAAAAACAAAGATTGAAAGAAAAGAGACTCCTTTTCAGTATGGGTGTGAGATAGTTGATTTGAGCAGTCAGAGTTAGTTTAGAGACTTACAGAGAATTGGTCTTCCTGGCAAGGACTAAGAGCCAACACAGCAGTGGCCTTTTTTTTATTTTTTTATTTTTTTTTAATTAAAGGCTTTTCTTATCCCTGTAGGAACTCCACCCGGATGAAATTGACACCGACTCTGCCTACATTCTTTTCTATGAGCAGCAGGGGATAGACTGTGCACAGTTTCTGCCGAAGATCGATGGCAAAAAGATGGCAGACACGAGCAGCATGGATGAAGACTTTGAGTCCGATTACAAGAAGTACTGTGTTTTACAGTAAAGCTGCCACTCTGGCTGCTGGATGGACTGGTGTCATGGGGGGTGACGGCTTGTAGCTAGCATTTGGCAGAATCATCACTGAAAAGCAGACTAAATGTAGTTATTTTATCCTGTGACCTGAAGCACAAAATAAAAATCCTAATTAAAATAGCAGTCAACTTTAAGAATAGTAATAATTTTGTTTTGAAGTCTCCCACAAGCTGTCCCGAGAACTTTCAGGCAGATCTCACCATTAGCCTGTAAACAAGAGGGTTTGGCACCAATCACCTGGGACCAACTAAGAATTTAATGTGCTTGTCCAATAAATAATAAACAAACTTGTAGTGAGTATAGAGTTTACCAATAATCATAACAGGATACTAAGGAATTCCTTGGAATCAAAGTTTAAAAAAAAAAAAGTTGAAATGTTGTCTGGGGACGACATGATATGCTACCTCCTTTTTCCTGAAGTTTCATTCCATTGTATTGATAAATGGAAAAAGCAAGATCATGCAGGAGTGCAGATGATTCTTACAGTGTGGACACAGATTTTTTCCAAATTTTTGAACCATTTCCCTATTATTTCTATGTCTTGTTTGTTTGTTTGTTTGTTTGTTTGTTTTGGTTATTTTTCTTTCTTTTTTTTTTTTTTTTTTTTGAGGGATAGTTTTGTGTTTGAAACAGTCATTTGTTATGAGATATCCACTGGCCCCCACCTGTTGCACTGACCACGCCCATTGGAGCATGGGGACAGGTGGGGGGTCCCAGATCCCAGCTTGTAGCAGAAACTGTGGCAGTTGGTCTGAACCCAGTCAACTCTAAGGCCATGTGCCTTCTGCCCAGTCTCAGTGCAGTGACCAGAAGTCCAGTCTAGGCAGCCCTCCTGCAGAGGCTTCTTCAGGATACTTGAAGTGAGTGTCCTCACAGACACACTGCTGGGTGTGGCAGGTGCCAGGGTTTGCACCATAGTCCCAAGCATACATTGCACAAATAGTTCCTAGGAAGGTTTGCAAAAGCCAGAAGTGTTTCCTGTTAGTAGTGGGGGTCTTTTTTATTGTTGTTTTTGTTTTTTCTTTGTTTCTCATCTTGCACTTTAAAAGAGAGAATACATGCAAACAGTTGTGCTTGTACTTTAATGGCTCTAAGGGCTATAAATTAACTCTATCAGAGTGTAAAATGTAAAAACAGAAATACATCCAACTTTGATAGTTTGTAAGTATTGCTAAAGAAACTGCTGGGTTTAGGAAGCAAACTCCGGTTGTTTGCATGTCTGCTCCTTCAACTTTTTTTTTTTTTTTTTTTTTTTTTTTTTTGCACTAGTCATCAAAAATTTTGTTTATTTGCTCTTTTTTTTCTAATTATTCAAAACTGGAACAAAAGTATAAATGTCATTTATTTCTGAAAGCATTTTTTTCTGTGTTGTGTTTTAATATGTAGTCAAGGAAAATTCTCACCTTGTTTTTTGGTCTCTTAAAAAATTCATCAAGACCCTGGAAATTGATTCTCATTTGTTACTAGATCCCATTTCCCTCCTTTCCTCACAGTAGTAAATACCAATGCAGTTAGTGTTTGTGCTCTGATAGCTGAGACCAGTGAGCGCCTAATTTCAGTGCACTTGGAAAAGTTGTCTTAAGCAACTGCCTAGGCTGACATCCCTTCAGAAATGTGAGTGTACTTAAAAAGAAGGAGTGGCCTGAAAGGAGTGATGTAATGAAGTCACACAAAATGCATACTTCATAGATTCAAAGTTTTCATATATGAAATGTCCACTCCTACAAGTCCCATGAAAAAGTGGAAAATTTTCAGTAATTTCCTTACAGATGTTGTAGTTGAGCAGGTAGCACAATCTACTAATGTTGTTTGATCTGTGTTTGTTATATCGGTTGTAATTAATTTTTTTAAATTCAAGAACTAGCAGAAAATTTATTAAATTAACTATTAACTACATTCACCTTGTAAATTTCTGTATAAAACTTGTTGACAATGCACTGACTTTAGGAAGACATTGATGTACATAGAGTGTAAATAAGATAGTCTTGATGTACGGAATATGAACTGTATAAAAAAGTATTGGTCATTGTATATGGCGTGTACCTGTTTATCTGTAACTATTACCCAAATTAAATACTGCAGATGTTCACATGTGGTTTTTCCTTGCACAAGTAAACACAAAGCTTGTTTCTTCAGCCTTTCTCTCTGTGATCCTGTTTAATTCTCTGTGTTTATAATACCAATCCCACTTACAAAGAGGATGTTCCACCTTAGAAGAAACTGTTGAGGTAGAAGGAAGCACCTGCAGTGACCAGGTGAATTTTAACTGAAATATGGCTCACATTCACAGGGTAGACTGCTGGCATAAGTTCACAAGAGAAGCCCTACTATAGTTTTCATACTGATTAGGAAATAAAGTGAAGAGACTTTGCATTTATATAATACATTGAAATGGCCCTAGTTGTGGGGCCAGGGGGTGGGGGAACTATTAGAGATGTCCTGGGGTGTCTTTTGTTCCTTAATATTTATTTTATTACCAGGCAGTTATGGCACACACCTTTAATCTCAGCACTTAGAATGTAGAGACAGGTGGATCTCTGAGTTTGAAGCTAGTCTGGGCTGCAAAATGAGTTCCATGACAACCAGGGCTGTTACACAAAGAAACCCTGTCTGGAAAAGCCAAAAATATATATATATTTTTATGTATGTGTTTGTCTGTGATGTTTGTGGTTTGTCAACACAGACAGAAAAGGTTGTTGGCTTCCCTGAAACTGGAGTTGAAGAACCCTTGACAGCCATGCAGTAGTGACGAATGCCTTTGATCCCAGCACTCAGGAGGCAGAGACAGGCAGATCTCTATGAGTTCAAGGCCAGCCTGGTCTACAGAACTAGTTCCAGGGCAGCCAGAGCTATTACACAGAGAAACCCTGTCTTGAAAATCAAAACAGGAAAAAAGAAGTCCTTTCTCTATGGTCAGAGACATGTCCAGGACAAATCAACAGAAAAAAGCCATCTTTAGGTTTACTGACCAGGGACAGGCAAGATGGCAGATGTACAGGGGACATAAATCTAAGACCAGGTATGGCCATGGATGAGATGGAAAGCAGTGGATCTTAAAATTCTGGGTACATGTGAGTGTAAAACTATCTGTTGTTGAAGAACACAAGTCCTGGTATTAAATCTCTCCCTTAAAAAAAATCAGAAATCCAAACATTAATACAAGATATTCCATTTAAAATGAAAAGCTAGCTGTGGCTACCACTTAGGAGGCAGAGGCAAGAGTGTCAGAAGAGACCAGCCTGGGCTTCACATAGCAAGTTCTAAGACAGCCTGGGCTATACAAAAAGAACCAAGCACCTGCCAACACTTGGGAGGCCAAGGCAAGCAGATCTCTGAGTTTAAGGCAAGTCTGGTTTCCCAAGTGCCAGTCAACCAGGGCTACCAAGTGAGACCCTATCTCAAAAAGTTATAAACAGGCTGGAGAGATGGTTCAGTGGTTAAGGACAATGACTGCTCTTCCAGAGGACATGGATTCAATTCCCAGAACCCACCTGGCAGCTCATAACTGTCTATAATTCCAGTTCCAGGGGACCTAACACCCATGGCAAAATACCACTGTATATAAAATAAATTTAAATTTTTTTTAAAGATTTATTTATTATATATACAGGGTTCTGTCTGCACGTGTCCCTACAGGCCAAAAGAGGGCACCAGATGTCATTATAGATGGTTGTGAGCCACCATCAACTCTAGAAGAGCAGTCAATCCCATAAATGAAAAAGTTTAAAAAAAAAAACAAAAACAAAAACAAAAAACTTTCAGCTGGCAATGGTGGGGCACACCTTTAATCTCAGCACTCAAGAGGCAGAAACAGGTGGCTCTATGGGTCAAGGCCAGCCTGGTCTACAGAACAAGTTCTAAGACAGCCAGGGTTGTGTAGAGAAACCCTGTCTTGAAAAACAAAATGAGTAAATAAACCTTTTTTGAAAACTGAATGTGGTGGCTCATGCTCTAGCCCCAGTAGTTAGAGAGTTGGAATGGAGAGGGTCTTTTGAGCCCTGGATTTCAAGACCCTACTCTCAAAGGCAATCTATATGAAAGCCAGATACAACCCACTAATTCATTCCTTCTGGTAATTAGAAAGGGTATCAGCTTTAGTTTTTAATGGGGGGGTGTAGAGACAGGGTCTCTACATAGCCCTGGCTGCTCTAGAACTTGCTGTGTAGACCAGGCTGACCTCAAACTCATAGAGATCCACCTGCTTCTGCCTCCTCCATGCTAGGATAAAGGTGTAAGCTACACCAGGCCAGTTTATCAAATTGAATCCAGTTAAGGAAGAATTCTGATCTGGCTGTACTGCTAGAATGCTTGAAAACTAAGCATTCTAGCAGCACAGCCTTATAGACTCTGATTGGGTTAACTGCCCATGAGAATAATTACTTTAGGGGCTAGAGAGATGCCTTAGTGGTTAAGAGGCCTATGAAATCAGCCTGGCAGTGGTGGTCTGTGCCTTTAATCCCAGCGTTTGGGAAGCAGAGGCAGATAGATCTCTGTGAGTTCACCGCCAGCCTGGTCTACACAGAGAAATTCTGCCTGGGGGTGGGGTGGGGGGATGAAAAAAGAGTCTATGAAATTATGAAGACCAGAGTTTAGAACCCAGCACCCACATAACACCTGTAACCCCACTGTATCCACAAATGCCTGTACTTCCAGTTCTGAGAGCCAACACCCTTTTCTGGCCTATGCATATTCACTAGTAGATACATTTATTGCAGAATGAATATGCCTTCTCAGTGAAAAATCATTGCACTCTAACAGGTTAATAAAAAAATCATTTAATAATAGTATATGACTGGGTGAGGAATGATGGCACATGCCTTTAATCCCAGCACTCAGGATGCAGAGGCATGTCTACAAAGTTCCAGAACAGCCAGAGCTGCACAGAAAAGCCCTGTTTTGAAAAACAACACAAAACAAAGGAGCTGGAGAGAGAGCTCAGAGGTTAAGGGCACTGCCTATTCTTCCAGAGGTCCTGAGTTCAATTGTGGCTCAACCATCTGTAATGAGATCTGGTGCCCTCTTCTGGGGTAGGCATACATGCAGAATGCTATATAAATAAATCTTTTAAAAAACAAACAAAAAGTGTGTAATTGGTTCTTGCTAATACATGAAAGGCTGACAGAAATCCCTATCAGTTTATGCATTTTCAAAAACACCAACTTACACTTAGAGCAATTAAATATGTTTCACAGATAAAAAATTCCAAAGGAGATTTACAATGTAACAATTTTGTCATAGGGGCTGGAGAGATGGCTCAGAGTTTTTAAGAGCACTGGCTATTCTTCTAGAGGTCATGAGCTCAATTCCCAGCAACTACATGGTGGTGGCTCATAACCATCTATAATGAGATATGCAGGCTTTCAGGAAGAACACTGTATATGTAATAAGTAATCTTTTTTAAAATGCTGTCATAGGACTAGGACTGCAGCTGTCAACCAAGTCCAGATTTATCCTGCCTCTGCAGAATTGTGCCCTTACTGATGGGAGAAATGGAACTTAATGGTGGCAGTGGCCCAGTGCTGCCCCGTTGAACTGGGCATTATAGAGGCATATTCTGTTACTTGATAGGGAACGGGCCTATTGGCCTGCTGTGAGCTCTGGGTTGTCTCCTTTTATTATGGGCATGGAGCCTGCTTGGTGGCAATCTTAGTGAACAGATTTTTCTTATGAAGGACAGGGTTTCTATGTTGTCCTGGCTATCTCCTGCCTTTGCCTCCCAAGGCTGGGGTTAAAAGTATGCAAAACCCCACTCAGCCCTCAGTGAACAAATCTTAACAGAAACACATTCTCAACAAACCTAGACTTTTAATTAATTGCTTTATTTCATGTGTGTTGGTGTTTTGCCCACATGCATGTCTGTGTGAGGGTGTCAGGTTCTCTGGAACTGGAGTTACAGACAGCTGTGAGCTACCATGTGGGTGCTGGGAATTGATCCCAGGTTATCTGGAAAAGCAGTCAGTGCTCCTAACTATTGAGACATCTCTCTAGCCCCTGACTTTTAATTTCTTTAGAGACAGAGATTTTCCCTCCCTATGGTCTGGCTAACAAGTCTGGCTAGCACAACTCATACGAGAGTGCTCCTTTAACTACATTCTATTTTGTGTAACTATTTCCTAAGCAAGTTTAGTGGCTCCTATATAGCATCAATTTATTATTCCCATACTCATACAAACACATAAATACATGTAAATAAAAAAATAATTTTTTTGGTTTTTCTCAAGACAAGGCATCTGTGTGTTACATACAGCTCTGGGTGTCCTGGAACTCACTCTGTAGACCAGGCCGGCCTCAAACTCACAGACATCTGCTTGACTCTGAATCCTGAGTGCTGCGACTGATGGCCTGGGCCACCACCGCCCGGTGGCCCGGCTATAAAATATTTTAAAGTACCACTTCATTTCCAAAAGTTATTGAAAAGAATAAACCATGTGTATATAGAGGAGAATGAAGGTAGCCCTTCACCCACTGAGGGAAACACGGGTGTAATATAGCAGTTGTCAAGTTTATTACCAACTGGGAGGCATGAGCTAAATATGTGAGTACCTATTTACAGAGCTTGGTGCTGGGTTCATGGGATACAGAGGTTCCCAGCCTACCAATGTGTCAGCATCATGAGAGTCAAGTAGGCGCTTGTTAAATCCACTGACCCAAGTCCCCATCCACCATTGTCACATCCCTTCTTTACACACAGCCTTACAAGGCTCTGTACCTTAGGTACACTCAACCAGTTTGCAATGGTCCGAAAATCAGTCATTTATAGAAACTGTTGCCCCGGGACATGAGTCATTGCCTCTAGTCTACCTTGGGAAAATTGGCAGAGGCGATACAGGGGCATGTGTAAGGAGGGGTGACAGTAACTACCCAAGACAAAAGAGCTGCAATCAAGTGCTGTCTTTATGAAGTATTGACTCAGGACATCAGACTGTTGACAGTGTTCTCAGGGGAGAACTAAGTGGAAAACAAAAGCAAACTGTACCGTGAGGGAAGGTCAGGGTCACATTGTCTGAATCATAGACAGCAGTGAGACAGTACAAAGGCAGTGTAGGCTGTTTGAGCTGAGCTGAAGGTGCATGAGTGGAAATCACC